ATCGCGTTGGAAAGCCAGCTGCTCGCTCTTCCCCCCTGAAGTTCCGGATCGCTATTGAACGTCGTTTTTCCGAATGTATCGAGCATTACGCGAATATCGGTTCTGCGGGGAACCCGATTCGATGTGGATTATCGTTATTATTCGGAGTTATGGTAAACAGGCTCAGTCTGTTGCAAATGTATCACTACCTAATCCTTTCCGCGTTTCCAACAATAAAACATCGCTGGTTAGTTTGTCAGGCAGACACGTCGTATTGTCTCCACTACGTGAGACAACATAACTTATTACTGTATAAAAATTTGCTTCTCGGCACTACGAGAGGAAGAGAAGAGTAAATTAAGAAAAAAATTTGACGATTGTACACAAGCAGCATCGTTTACATTTCGATATGTTGCGAAAGCAACGTAAAAAGAAATGAAAAACATATCGAACCGGTATCGAAGGTGTACACGCCGGGCTTCAAAACGCTTTGTGCATTTTCTTTGGACGTAGTTTGGAACGTAGCAAATGTCCAATGAGAGAATTAAACTTCTGGAAATTTTTCATCAGAAACTAGTACTCTCTCATTCGACCATTGACTGCGCTTAGAAAAAGAAGTCGAACATCGAAAAAGAGTTCAAACCGCTTTGAGAGAGAGAGAGAGAGAGAGAGAGAGAGAGAGACCCTGTGTACGATATTCAATACTGTAAATGCGTGTGTTTTAATAACCAACTACTTTTTGCAGACAGCGTTGTACGGACACATCAATGTGTAATACCGGCGATCGCCGGTGCGATTGCGCAAGTCCAAGGAAAAGACATCAAAGGAGGACAAGGAGGACTTTGGAAACCGGAGGGAAATCATAATTCCCGAGTCCGCAATCGCACACGTGACCGTGTCGATATTACGAATGTAATTAGGAGCGCATGCGTTAGCATAAAAGTCGGTCATACTCGAAATCTTATGTGACCATCAGCGCGCTTCCGGTCCCATATATAGCAAAGAGGAAAAGAAAGAAAGAGAGAAAGAAAAAAAGAAAGAAAGAATCGCGGCGCGAATAGGTTTTCATGTTGAACCATTTTTAACGCCTCGCAATGCGCAACACGTAACAATAATAGGTATACCGTAATCGGTACGTACCGAGGCGCGTAGGCGGGATGAGAGAGATGCACCTTGTTTAAGAGGCTAGCGGTTTTCCTCACACGTTCTCATGTGAGAATCACCATGTACAGCGTACAAAGAGTAAGATGCCAGGATAATGCGCGGCCACATTTTGCGCTCGATTAAAGGCTAATGCCAAGGTCCTCTGTCTCTCTTCCATCCATCTATCTCTCGACAAAGGGTGAAGTCATCGCTATCGAAGTACGAAGCGTTACATTTTTTTATCGTGTGCGATTTCAGTTCCTTACGGTATAGATGATGAAATTGATCGCCGCGAACATTAACGATACGCGGCTTTCGCTCGGACAAAGGTTCGTGGTGCCGATGTTCTGGCCGAAATGATCGACGTTCAATTTGAGAAGAAGCCTCCGCATCTCGCGATCGCGCTCCATTTTCAGGGGTATGGTATCATTGTAGCGAGCACGATCCGAACAGGATCCTACGTTCGTGAAAACGAAAGGTGGTTGTTTTCTACCTGACCTCTACTACCTTGCTCAGATGCGTGACTAATATTTCTATTTAATCGGATCTTAACGACACCGAGACAGACAGGACATTCCGCTTGACTCGACTGTAAAATATAGTAGAAATGACTAATTGAAGCTAATTTAGGAGACATCTTTTTCATTTAGCCTGTAAACGACGACGAGAAACCATATCGGTTCGTCGTTAATTCCCTAAAATTCGAATGCCTGAAGAGTTATTCTAGAAATCTCCGACTGCTCATTAGTCACACAACACATCGTGATCCCGAGCTGAGCGATAGGAGAAAAGAGAAGATTATATTCATTTATATTGCCGAGACGACGGTGAAGGAAGAGAGGGGGAATAAAAAGCAAACGACGCCACGACGTAACGTCAGACGTAGCGTCGGTTATCGCGTTCATTCGGGATAAATTGCACGAAAAACTCGAGATAAAGTATAGCGACGAGAGTCCGAGAGAAAAACAATTTTATCGAGATTCGGGGGATGTCCTGTCGAGAGAAGCGCGACGGCGACCCGGTCTAAAGTTAAACGTATACACCACTCTCCCCTCGTTGTTCGCTTCGAAACCCGACGAGCGTCCTGCGGGTGCTCCGTCGCGAGTGCGATGGCAATCGTAAGAACTTTCCGCGTACAACACGCGACACTATTGATTAAAGTGAAACTCGAGATTTAAAGCGTGTTCGCCGCTGGTGCATTAATTGTGGCTGTGTGGCTGTGGGCGGACCGATCGGATCAAGAAACGCGAGGAGCCCGTCCAAGTTTCTAATCGCAGGAGATATAATGTATTCCCGCTGCCATCGTGAGCAGAGTAATAATCTTTATTCGTTTGCTTTCTTCACACTCTCTTCGTCGATATTACCAAGTTAGACTCCATTTCACATCGGAGAAAATCCCTAATAATCACACTCCGTAAGATCTCTGCCTCCGAATATATCTTGAGTATATTTTGAGCGCGACAAAGCATTATGACCTCACATTATCGGACATAGACAATCATTATCGTATATGTTTCGATAAATATCGGTGGATAATATAGTGCAAATTTTATTGGGGAATTTTATTGGCGATTCTCACGTTGAGGCGGCGGTGGTGGCGGCGTGACGCTAACATTGGATGGCGACGACAACGGAGCAAGACAGAGGCGTCTAATAGTTCAATTAACTCGAGTCTACCGAGTAATATGAATATTTAAGTGAGACGATACTGAAACGGGAGCGCGTAAGCAACGAATCTAAATATGTGACCGCTCGTGTCTCCGAGCCGTGCCATCCGTGCCGAGAGAGTACTGCCTCTCGCGCGTACTCACGTATTCGCGCGTCACGAAATAGATTTACAAACGCTTCTTATCGCGTTTGAATTGCCAGACGCAGATACGCTCGCATCGGCATTTCGATTGATGGTACTCATGAACGTAGATTAGAATGTAGCTACTACGAGACGATGAAATCGAGATTGGTCCAGAGAAAACGTCAATTCCTAACGATACGATGACAATGCGCTACTTTATATCGATATATACGTGTGCCCGTTAGTTGGTAGTTAGTTGGTAGCAACTTTCTGTTAAACCGTTTCCATTCTGACGATGCAGAATAAACAATCACGTACTAAACTGATATGATATATATTAAAAAGACAGAGATGTATCGTACTGGCTTAATATCCCATCTTTTACACGCATCGCCAAAATTAAAAAGATAATCGCGAATGAAAAGTTGCCAATGAGTACGCGTATCAAACAAGAGCTGCAAAGCAGCAAAAACTCAACTATAACAAGATAATTTCTTGCGATGCGGGAAAGATCGGCTGGGCAAGATGCAGTAGGAAGTTTCTTTTGTAGTCAAAATCCGTCATTAGAATGCGTATAATAGCAGTAAACCGTAGTTCGCCGCATAGTGGAAAATAATTGGCTTGCTGAGGTCAAGTGAAATGCGTTAGAACCAATGAAACCCGGTTAGCAACCGTTGGAATAAAAATACTGATATTAAAATAAATTATCATAGTACGGCATTACATTGTCGCGATGTAGTATTAGTAGTATGTCAAATCTTTCCTAAAATAAGTAGCTCCAAGACGGCTATGTGTTTATGCACCGTAAAGCTTCCGAGTTCTTTTTTCCTTTCCGCATTCGGCCTGTGTGTGTTTCGTATTCGCATTTTTAGCCTGCTTTAGGCATGCAGGAAAAAGCGCAAAGCGCGCTCGTATAATGTTCTATGGTAAATATGCATGAAAATTGAATCTCTCGTTGAACGCTCGTTGAATGCCATTTCATACACAAATGCGTCAAATATGTCGTTCAATTAAAAGCAACTGATAGCACCGCAATTTGCCCTAAATAAATATGCGCTTCAAAGTTCGTCTTAGCCGCTAATTTCTCGAGAAATTTCGAGTCCGATCTCAACGATAATTATTCGCTTCCAAAATATTTCCAAATACTGGTGATTGATTCAAGTTCTGACGCATATAAATCTATATTGGCAACAAACCGTTAATGAAGTATCACGAATATTAGACATAATGTCCACGGCATACGTAATTTTAAGGCTCTAAAAAATCTATCAATATTAGAATGAAAGTAGACCGAAATGTATCAAATATATTTCAGCGCGTTTGAATAGCTTCGTGTAATATTTTTATACGATCAGCTTTTCCCACGTACATATTTTTCAACGTAAACATATTCTGCGTGATTAGATACATCCCATTATCTTTGAACGATGGGATGCTTCGATAAATCTATAGCGAAACATTTCAATGATATATAATTCGCTTTTTCGATCCATCTCTCAAACCTAGACAATTCGAGTCTCGAACGAAAATAAATGTGAATCAATATTCAGCAACAGCTGATACGTTCCATTTGCCCGATGCTAGCAAATATTGCGGATATTAATCGCGACAACCCCCGTCACATTACAATCGCTAAATATTCCAAGCTCAATTCCACGAGCAATGAAATAACCGCCGACAGGAGCAATGAAGTGCGGAGCACTCGCGTTGACTTCGCGTCGCGCGATCGGCCGCGATTAACCTTTAAAAGTAAAACGATAACGAAGAAAACGACGATGCAGAGCCGCCGCTCCGAAAGCAGAAAAAAGACAACCGCGATGCCACATACACCCGTACATTTCCAAATGCGTGCGAATTCGCGCGTGTGGTCGCAAACACGAAACAAGAAGGTAGTATACGCGTGTATCGACAGACTCGACCGTTCGCCCGACGACAGAACAGGATGAGAGAGAGAGAGAGAGAGAGAGAGAGAGAGAGAGAGAGAGAGAGAGTGAGAGAGAGAGAGAGAGAGAGAGAGAGAGAGAGAGAGAGAGAGAGAGAGAGAGAGAGAGAGAGAAAGAGAGAGAGAGAGAAGACAGGTACTCACAATTGATGCTGCAGCGTCAGCATAGCAGCGCTTTCGGGAAAAGGGTTACGGACGCGTGCGTTCGCGCGAAGACGATACCGTGAAGAGCGCACATTCATACGTGGCTGTCCTGGCCAATGACGACAATGTATCCTAGGAAGTTCGCGTTGTATTGTGCGTGTAATCGTGTCAAATGACGATGAGATTTTTCACGTCCGGGCCGGCGATAATAACGACACGCGTTTAAAATGCATCCGGCACTCCACCGCCTGACGTCGCTCGCTCTGACACTGCGTGTGTCGCGACCTACGCGAAGCAAGCGTAGCGACGTTTTAACGCGACGGCGACGATGACGACGATAACTACTGCGACGTCGACGACGACGTCGACGACGACGACGACTGCGATATTACCGCGTGCAAGCGCAAGAGTCTCCGTGTACGATGGGTCGCGCGCTCGCGCTCGCGCTCGCAATCGCACTCATCGATACACCGCGACAGAACGCTTTGACATAATATAACCGCTGACCCCACAGGCCCCCCCGCGACTGCCCGCTCTTGTCGATTCCGACCGTTCGCTCGCGACGCGATTCAACGGCTGCGCTCCTCGCGACAAACTGGTGGGGGAGGAAACGTAAGCCATGAAACACGGAGCAATGTGTAGATTGTGGTGTCGGTAGTAAGAATCTTCCTGATCGGTTTTAATTCTGGTTCAATAAACGGCTCTGAGCAGAACTATTATACTCTATCTCCTACGCCAGTACGGAACGGTTACGAAAGTAAAAGAAAAACAGGGACAACGCGTACGCAATTCCCACGATCAAAAATATGCGTAATTATAGGAACCACATCCGCCATGGAAGCGAACAAAAGACTTTTTCTTCCTCTGATCGGTCAGAGAGAAACCTGAAAGCGGCCGCCGGGGTCGATTACGCCGGGACGCTTTATCTGCTGAATTCCGACGCGCCCCCTGAGAAAATGTGTGCACACTACATCCGTCCTGACGGTAACGGCAAAGCGTGCACGGTTCTTGCTCATTCTACTTCCCCTTACAAGAGATAGTAAGTTAGACAAGCAAGTGCGGGCCCGAAGTGGCGCCGGCCGAGGAGGAGAGGCCACCGGCTCGTCGGAAGCCGCCTCTTCGGCCGCCTCGGGCCCGCCTTCGACGTACCGGTGGGGATGGGTGGGAGAGGGGGTAAAGCCCTCTCGCCCACTCCGGGCGTCGGTGATGGTAGGGAGAAGGGGAACGAAGACCGATTAGGGCCGAGCCTCGCTCCCCTGTCCCCTCCCTACCCACCCAGTAGGGAAGGGGGAAGGCGGGGGCGAGGAGAGAGGGCGGGTGTCCTCTCTCTCCTAATTAACACCGGAAGGCCAACCCGGCCGGACATCCGGCACCACGCCCTTGACTCCCAATCTGGGAGGGGCGCGGTACTTAGGCGTGGGGCTCCATGAGAGCCCTGGGGCCGGGGTGTCAGGGAGGGAATGCAAGCGTAGTTCCCCTGACTCCTCCCACCACGGTCCGAGCGGTAGGCACCCCGCAGGGGTTTTAGTCGGTAGAAGTCCGCGACATAACCTCCGCCCTCTCCAAGGGGTGGGGGCATCCATGAAAATTTCCCCTGCGTGACCAAAAAAAAAGAAGTTAGACAAGCACAGACGATCAATCGCTGCTCTCCGTTTTTGTCGCACCACCGATAAGCGTACGCGCGGCAGGAGGAGGCACGAGGCGAGTCAGAGGCATATCTTATCGCTAAGTCAAAATCTCTCCCATTTTGCCCTTTCCCAATCTCACCTCTCACGCAACGCACTGCCCGCAATTCGGGAAGAAATATTTCGAGACCGCGCAGAAAACTTCTAGCAATGACACAAAATGAGTAGGGTAGCTGGTAGGGGTGGCCATTTTTATAATATTTATATACAATTTTTCCATTTTTTTATTCGATTTTCTTCATTTATATTTTCAAAATCAATGCGAAAATGTAGGGTCATCTACTATAACTTAATTATTTGTGATAAGACATTAATCTAAATTCAAAATAAGGATGATCCGAGTAAACTGCGTCGAGTTGTACTCGCAAGTTTTGAAGTTAAAAGTCACGAAAATTTAAAAAGTGACAGGACCAGAAATGACAAGTCGTCTAAATTAATTAAAGAAATATGAGTGATAAGGTTTTAAACTAGACTACTACACAACTGCTACACAAAATAACCAAGATCCTCATAAATTGCAATGACGTGCGTCTACGCGCTATCGAGAAATTGAAGCTGATAGGTAAAGATCGGACGATGCGAAAATCACGAGTCACCACGTATAAGCAAAAGCTGCAAAATTATTTGCTATAAGACGTAAATCTAGGTTCGAAAGATAAGATTGATCCGAGCAAACCGCATCGAGCTGCAATCACGCGTTATGGAGTTGGAAGCCACGAAAGATGAAAAAATGACATGCCCGGAAATGATCTGTCACGAAATAATAATTATCGAAATATGGATAACAAGGTTCTAATCTACATTCAGAAGAAGAAAGATCAGCCTAAATTACAACAAAGTGCACCTATTCGTTACCGAGAAATTAAAGCCTATAAGTCAAGACCAATCGATGCGAAAATAACGTGTCACCGGGTATAAGCTGCAAAATTATTTGTTATAAGACATAATCTAAATTCGAAATAAGACTCATATGAGTAAATTACGTCCAGCTGCAATCACGCGTTTCGGAATTATAAGCCACGAAAGATGGGAAAGTGACAGTGTCCGAAATGACCCGTCACGAAATATTAATTATCGAAATATGGATAATAAGGTTTTAATCTAAACCCAAAATAAGAAAGATCCTCACAAGTTACAACAAGGTGCGCCTATTTGTTACCGAGAAATTAAAGCCGATAGGTTAAGGCCGATCGATGCGAAAATATCGTGTCACCGGGTATAAGCTGCAAAATTATTTGCTATAGGACATTAATTTAAGTTCAAAATAAGATTGATCCGTACAAGCCGCATCGAGTTGTGATTACGCGTTTCGGAGTTCTAAGCCACGAAAGATGGAAAAGTGACAGGGTCCGAAATGACCTGTCACGAAATAATAATTATCGAAATATAGATAAGGTTTTAATCTAGACCTAAAATACGAAAGATCCACACAAATTACAACAAAGTGCACCTATTCGTTATCGAGAAATTAAAGCAGAAAGTTCAAGGCCGAGCGATGCAACAATAACGTGTCACCGGATATAAACTGCAAAATTATTTGCTATAAGACATTAATCCAGGTTTGAAATAAGATTGATCCATGCAAACCGCATCGAGCTGTGATCACGTGTTTCGGAGTTATAAGCCACGAAAGATGAAAAAGTGACAGGCTCGGAAATAACCTGTTATGAAATATTAAATATCGATAAGGTGTTAATCTAGACCCGAAATAAGAAAGATCCTCGTGAATCGCATCGAGCTGTGATTACGCGTTTCGGAGTTATAAGCCACGAAAAATGGAAAAATGACAGGGTTCGAAATGACCTGTCACGAAATATTAATTATCGAAATATCGATAATAAGGTTTTAATCTAGACCCAAAATAAGAAAGATCCTCACAAATTACAACAAGGTGCACCTATTATCGAGAAATTAAAGCCGATAGGTCAAAGCCGATTGATGCGAAAATAACGTGTCACCGGATATAAGCTGCAAAATTATTTGCTATAAGAGATTAATCTAGGTTCGAAATAAGATTGATCCGTGCAAACCGCATCGAGCTGTGATCACGCGTTTCGGAGTTATAAGCCAAGAAAGATGGAAAAGTGACAGGCTCGAAAATGACCTGTCACGAAATATTAATTATTGAAATATGGATGATAAGGTTCGAACCTAGACTCAAAATAAGAAAGATCCTCGTGAATCGCATCGAGCTGTGATTACATGTTTCAGAGTTATAAGCCACGAAAAGTGGAAAAATGACAGTGTGCGAAATGACCTGTCACGAAATATTAATTGTCGAAATATGGATAATAAAGTTTTAATCTAGACCCAAAATAAGAAAGATCCTCACGAATTACAACAAGGTGCGCCTATTCGTTATCGAGAAATTAAAGCGTAAAGTTCAAGGTCGATCGAAGCGAAAATAACGTGTCACCGGATATAAGCGGCAAAATTATTTGCTATAGGACATTAATTTAGGTTCAAAATAAGATTGATCCGTGCAAACCGCATCGAGCTGTGATCACGCGTTTCGGAATTATAAGCCACGAAAGATGGAATAGTGACAGGCATGGGAATGACCTGTCATGAAATATTAAATATTAAAATATCGATAATAATAAGGTATTAATCTAGACCCAAAATAAGAAAGATCCTCGTGAATCGCATCGAGCTGTGATTACGCGTTTCAGAGTTCCATGCCACGAAAGATAAAAAAGTGACAAGCTCGAAAATGACCTGTCACGAAATATTAATTATCGAAATATGGGTGATAAGGTTTTAATGTAGGTAATTATACAGGTAATGTCGCACACAGCACACTTTATCTCAAGGACACCAATATCCTAGGGATATACAAATGTGTGTTGTTTTAGATCCTACAGATATCTCTTTCAATGCCAATTTTAAAAAACTGAAAGTTTGTACGAAAAGAATTGAAAGTTACTAAAAGGGATATTCGTAGGATATCTGTAGGATCTAAAACAGCGGACATTTGTATATCCCTAAGATATTGCGGGTAAAAAGTGAACATTTTTTCGTCGATATTGGAGATGAGGGGGGTATTCTGTATAATTACCCGGAATTGTTATATAGCGTGATGTAAATACATAAAATAAACTTACCCTTCGATGGTTCCTGATGTCCCTCCTTATAAAATATATCCTCCGACACTTGATATTTTTCACAAGACAAACACTAAATTTCACTTTGCACAATAACAGGCCATTTTTTTTCACAGCACTTGATCACAATACAAATCTTAAGCAACAAACGCGCGTAATTTCATTCAGCACTCCCGACGATCCGGTTTCGTTAATTACTTATTTTCAACTTGACGATACTTCGCTATAACAAATGCACGAAATTTGCTTTCGGTACTCCCGACGGAACAATACACGCCGATATTCGCCTTTGGTAATTCAAAATCGCAGAAAATACGCACGGTCGGCTTTTGGAATTCACGCACTGAGCGTCTCAACACAACGCTCGCGATTTGCAATGTGTGCGTATGTCGGTGAATACGTGTCACTAGCGTACTAGCCAATCAAAATAGTCTGTTCGAAACCGTCCGTTTCGTTTGAAATATTCCAAGAAGTCGCAGCCATGACGGAAAAAATTCCCGGAACTTTACTCGACCCTCCCGACGAACAATGCACATTTTCAACGAATTTAACGAAAGCTGTGCCATATCTCGATGTTTAACGATAATTCGCGGCCGAGACTCGGCTGACGAGAGTCGAAAACGAAGCTCCGCGACGCGAAAACCGAGCTGAACCTTACGCAGCTGGCGCGCTGAACTTTCCTAGGCATTTCGACGATTCATCTCCCTTCACTTTGCGCGGCGGAATGAACGTCATTACGGCATAACACACGCGCGAAACTTACTTTCGGCACTCCCGGTAACGATTTAAGGCACGAGACTCAGCTACGGCGAGTCAAAATTACAAGAAATCACGGGCGACGGTTTCTCGCACACGAGCTAACCCGTGACCTGCGCCATAGCTATATGGGAAAGCAACTGCGAACAGCGCCACAAGCAGGATACTCGGGAAGCTGAGTCGGCCAATCGCGGTGATTCATTTCTTTCCGTAGTGAGACTATTTATCTGCACAAAGTGTACCAAGTGCGGGTGAAAGCAGTCGATGGTAGATCGATTTAATTCGGAGTTACGCGCAATGTAATAAGACAGTAATGGTACAATCTGATGCAATAACCGGATCGCTTCATTGCATCCTATTATAACCCGACTGCACTGTAAATAAAATTATGTGCAGAGAGAAACCCCTGTGAGCGGTGACCGGGCCGATTACACTGGGACGCTTCTTCCGCCGAATTCCGTCGCGCCCTCTGAGAAAATCATTGCGACATGCACTGTCATTTGCATGAGATACACCGTACCCCACACTGCGTTTGAAAACAGCCAATGACAGGTCGTTATATTTCTGAGCTACATAAATGGTCTGTTCTTTTCAGCTGCACTGCGGAACTGGTGCAATAAGTTAGAATGAGACAACTATATTTTTTCTCACTTTAACTTATTGCACCAGTTCAGTAGTGCAGCTGAAAAGAACAGACCAAAAGTAGCTGCCGATAATGGTATAATCAGTGAATGCGCCTTAATGACAATGAAATCTAAACTTCTTTTCCGAAGATCTTTTTAAACTGGAAGTCATGGTCTTCGTCGGTGTGGGTCCTCTGGAAGACGATTATAAATCTTTTTCTCTAACGCGTAAATTCGTGAGAAAGTGAAAATTTCCTAATTTTAAAGCAATTGGAAAGGTTAATTTTTCACAAACTCACGCTAGAAGAAAAGATTCCCTGATTGCTTCCCTGAACTTTCTTATCGATAAAAATGAAGCTGAATATGGCTTACAAGTCTTGTAATTGGCTATAAGCGATTTTTATCGGTGAAAGAAAATTCAGAATGTTGGTCAAAATCTATAATATTTTATCTGACAAACAGATGTGAATAAAAATCGTTGTGATTGGCGTAGGAGAAGGAGTGTAATAACTCTGCTCAGAGCCATATATTGAATGAATGAATGAAACAGATGTGAAATTCTTTATGAAGAATCCATATGTTCGCTCCAATAACCAATAGAAGAATTTACTTCCTTGATATTTTACCTAGCGATATTCCGTATCTACTACAAGACAAGTTTTCCTATTGGATGTTGAACGTTGTAAATCGGACATTGAACGCAGAATGTGAACTTTCCATTACGTCTACAGGGTGGAAGAACGCAACCCTTTTGTTTATGATCCACGCTGAATGGTGCTTTTGCTCATGTTAATAGTTATAATAACAAGAAACACTTTTCTTGTACGTTTAAAAAGTTGGAATTGAATTTCTGCAATATGAAAACATTATATTGTTTTATCATTATTACGGTTATTGGTAAGGGTCAAGCTTCCTATATAACTATCTTCTACTAGATAAAATATAGTTTATTTTTACTCTGTGTTTCTACTTTTATCGTCGTCGTATTATCTATAATTGTTTCATTATATCGTATTATCTCTAATAATTGAAGTATAGTTTTACTACAAACAGTATAATACTTTCCAATATAAATAATTACAGGATCCTTCACATTAGCTAAAAGTGGAGCGCGCTCACCAGTCTTGCAGCAAGATTATCAGTTGAATCTTCAAAGTGATTATTACGATAGTGCACAAGCCAAATATTACAAGGCAAATCCAAAATTGGCAGAAACAGCGTCTGAGAAATTGAATCTTCCTTCAATCCAGAAGATGAATGTTTCAGCATGGGGAATAATCGGGATAATTTTAGGTGTAATTATACTTAGTACAATAACATACTATGTTTTTATATTATATCCGTACGTGTGTAAGAAAGGACAGTCCTATGATACTATGGAACTGACAGATGTTAATTCTGTGTGTACTGTTAGCGACACTCCTAACATGCCATTGTACCACAACCCAAGTATCATATCAGGCTATGTATCAGTAATTCGTTGAGACAGAGAAGTGGAAAAAAGGTAATTTCATATATTTTATTCTATAGTTATATGAATGATACATTCATTTAGGATATTAATATTTTTATATGATCTTAATGACTATCTCAAGATATTTGAGTGGAAAAAGCATTGATATCAAGTATTGATATTATTAGCACTTTTTATATTTTTTATACACAATATTATAAGATAAATGATAAACTTTTATAAGCTTTACAAGCATTTACAGCAATGTGTATAAAGTATTTTTTTATTGCCATTTTTTATACCATTGCGATTATGAGGCAGATCATAATTATATCACTAAAAGTATGCATTTCAAACACTTGCACGTGTTACATGCTAGCACATGTTAACACATTGCTTATGGTTCACAAGATATTTTGTTGATGTATATGTATTGTATTTCTTCAATTGTACATTGATGATAAATTTCAAAACAAATGAATGTTAAAATATAAGAAAAAAGTAGCTATGCAAAAAAAAGTTTTATGCAATTATGTATATAATATGCAAGCTATAAGAATAAAGCGTCATATGCAATGTGTTAAATATGTTAGCTCTACTTAACATTTATGTGTGAATATGTATGCGTGCGCGTCTGCATGTGTGTGTGTGTGTGTGTGTATGAGTTTTAATTTATGTAATTAATATATAATGAATGCTAATCAATATGGAAGACTCTACACAAAAGATACATTTGATCAATTGGATGGTAATAAGCTTAGTGTTACAGAATGCTAACACATATTACAACAATAGACTGATTCTTGTTATTTCTGAATTTGGTCCCATTAAAAGGAGAACTAATCAATTGTATATAAAGTGTACACTGCCGAATTTCCTTACAATTATTAGAATAGATATTAAGGTCGCAATACTCATAAAGAAAAGACTTTCGTAGAAACATATACATATAAATGTATGATATATATTTATTACAAATATGAAACTGACTTTACACATTAACTTTGTCTTAAGTAACGTTTTTTCCTAGTAAATGGACTAATAAATGCGTTGTGATATCGGAACACGTTTTCCAAACTACTTATCCTTTTAAGACATATGGATAACGATTTAAACGACAATATACAAATTATATATTACATATACATCGAAAATGTATTATCAATTTCTCTGGCGTAACGTAACAAAACTGTATAAAGTTGGCTTCGATGGAAGAATCGCTTAAGTGTTTACTTTTTATATGAAACTGGATAACTGCACCTGAGAACTCCTACCTCGGACACACAGACTAATGACAAATGACTATACTGACATACCGATATTAAGTTTTTCTACAGATTATTGAAAATAAGATGATTACTTTTTACTATCTAACCATAAGTTTCACCGCAAAATTCTCAATAAATTGATAGAATTTTACAGATATTAATGTTCAAAGTATAATACAAAATAATTTCAGGCTAATGAAACTTAATGGTCTTAATATCAGTTTTTGCCACAAAAGTATACCTTGTATAGCGAATGCTTTGAAAAAGAATTTATACACTGGCTTTCGGTAATTACAGCTCGTCTTTCTCATCTAAATTAACATCACTGAGATCGACATCTTCTTCCTGCGGAGGAACACCGTCTTTGCCATCCCAAGGCTCCGTCTCGAGGACGCGAGGCAATGCATCCTTCAAAGGCGCAGTGCCGCCTCTGCCGTAACTCAAATCTCTCAGAAATTCGTTTATTCCATCGTATGAAAAACTACCTTTCAGCAACGAATATTTCATTTTCTTGATGTTAACTGCCGCTAATGCTGGATAACCGAAACCTCCGATCTCTAATGCCTCCTCGATATGTGGTTGAGCGCTAGCTTCCGACCAGACCCAACTGCGAAAGGAGCAATTTTATAAAGATTGTCGATACAAAAATTGGACATGATTGAGTGAGATGTAGAATATGTTGCAGCTTTCAGCAACAACTTCTTTAGATTATTACACCAAAAGTAATTGGTAAGATGCTGGATTTGTCATAGCTTTGATAAAACCAGTATAATTTTGCAACACAGGTTTAGAATTTTCAAAAATGACAATATTCGCTTACTCATAATCATACAACTAAAAAATATCAGAGAAGAAATTTGCTACTCATTACAAGAATTTAATTTTAAATCATTTATAATTGTTTCAGCAATGTTATATATATATATATATATATATGTATATTAAGATGTATATTAATGCATACCCCCACATTTTCTTCTTGTACTTATCACCAAGGCTACTCAGTGTCTTCAAATATGCATTTCTACAGTCAGACTGGCAATCCAGGATATCTGGTAAAACAGAAACTACACAGATTGGTTTGTCCTCACAAGCAGTCTTTAAGCTCTGTTCAGACGTAATTTGTATGACTTCCGGTGCTGGGATATTTTCCGACAGTTTTTCGAGAGCCCAGTTGACAATATCGCCGCTAGTACGACCACCGTCGTAATCCTGCACCGAGTCAGCATCTTTCTTACCCGGAGAGAAGTACTTGATAGTAGGATAACCTTTAATATCGTACCGACTGGCCTGCACAATGCCAATATAATAAAGATAAGTTTATTAAAATTATACAAAACCATCATCATTAAAATATGTATTCGTCTACATCTTACTTTCAATGTGTTTACAGTCGCATCCAGGGCACCCAATTTCACTTTACCCTTTAGTTCTGTAGCTGCTGTTGCCCACTCAGGTGCGAGATTTTTGCAGTGGCCACACCAAGGAGCATAAAATTCAACCAACCACATATCTTCTGAATTCAAAACCATTTTTTCAAAGTTCTCATCTGTCAACTCTATTACATCCTTGGAACTTTTGCTCTGCAAATAAACAACTCGGTTAATCTTACTTAATCATACACCAGTTGATAAATCATTCTATCATTTATTTGTGATCTGCTACTAGTTTCTACACTCAAGTATCTTTTTTTCTTTTTTAATTTTGAAAATTATTTAATTCATGAGATCATAGCTTACCTTGGAATCACCTCCTGTCTTTTTACCACCTAAAGTTCTTCTGACTTTCTGACTGACAGCATTCAATGCAGCATCAACGATACCAGCTGCAGTTCTCTGACCATTGTAATCCTCTGGTTTGCTGTCAAGTCCAAAGATCTTAATGGTTGGAAAACCACGTACACCATACTTAGCTCCAAGGGACTTGTGCTCATCGGCATTTACAGCACCGACTTTTGCTACACCCTATTGGCATATGTAGCAGAAGAATGAGAATACACACGCGCACACACACACACACACATATATAGATGAAGATTAACAATAAAAGAAATACCATACCTTTAGCGCAGTGGCAGCTTTGTCATACTCTGGCATCAGCTGTTGGCAGTGCCCACACCATGGCGCATAAAATTCAACCACCCAGATATGATCGCTATTGAGTACTAAGTTATCAAAATTATTTGGCCTAAGATCAATGACGGCCGAATTGGCCGCATACATACAATTCACCCCAGTGACTAACAGAAGAAAACCTGCGAGAAGCAGAGAAATGAGCATAAAATCAAGATTATTCGTAATAATAACGTATGTATGTCGATATACAGCCAATTGGCAAGGAGAGAAGATAAAGAATTAAGACTCAACGGAAGAGAGAGATAACACTTGTTGCAGCGTCGCCCACGCAGAATTCCGATGACAATTTCGAGAGCGCCGGATCGCAACGTCACTAAATGAACGAAGGCGGATCGTGCGGAGCGGCCGGGGCCGGCGCCGATGCAATCTCGCCGCCGACTTGAAGAGAAAAAAAATCTCACACGCTCTCATCACTCACCTAAAACACTCAACATCTTTCCGTGGAGCTCGCAGCTTGCCTGCAACATTGTCTACAGTCATTCACCTCTGTCGTTAGCAAGACGCACAAGCCTTTACGTAGACGCGCTCTACACCGCCTCCATATAAAGTTCCGACGTTCTCCGGATGCTGCCCGTGCCCGGTGATGTCTCGTTGCCCTGGATGTACACAGACAGTTTTCGTGGATCATTCTGATTGGTGAGCCATGACGGGCCACGGGTTGCGTGTCACGCGCTCGAGGTGGGTCGGAGAAAACTTTGAAATCTCATTGGCTGCTTTCCGATAGTCGTCATCGCGGTAGTGAAATCTACACTGATCTATAGTATACGTGACATAGACTATGGATTTTCAGTATTGGCAGTGAATATCGGAACGCGATTATTAACAAGGGCTGCATTCTCAAGCAGACTCAACAGAGTTGAACAACATTACTAGATTTTCCACCGAATCTCGCTCCTGATTGGTAAATACTTCTGGGTCTGTGAAGAATCTAAAAGAATGCTCCAATCACAGACAATAATCACTCTCTGAGCGCTCTCTGATCACTTTGTTCTACTGAACGCGGCCAAGGGTAGAGAAAAAGCGCGCGCGATCGTGCGAATTTTCTTTCTCACGCGCGCGAGTTAGCGTAGGTAGGTAGGTAGGTAGGTAGGTAGGTAGGTAGGTAGTTGTTCGAACTGGGAACAATCAAGCCCATATTTGGCGTTAAATATGCACGTAAATGTGAACGCGTGAGACAAACGCGTGAGTGGCGATATGCGTCACGTCGGTCAGTTCGATCCATTCCAATGACGAAGAAAACTTGCTTCTTTTTTTCTAAGGGAGAACCATCAATTTCAATAGCCGTCATCACGATTCGTGGAATAACGGTGAATCCGACCAATCATAATCACCGATTAGCATAAATTTCTCTATGCTCCCTTTCCGGCACTCGCATCTGCCCGTGTCCGACACACAGAGAGAGAGAGAGAGAGAGAGAGGTATACGTGCACGAAGTCATCGAGAGGAGAATTTTGAGTCGTGTGCACGTAGGACGAACAATCATCAGCGTATAGGTTATGTCACGTTAATACGCGAAAGTAGGAGGAACGGTCTTTGTCATCACCGTCGCGGCTGAAGGAGCAAGTTTGTCCTTTGTCCGCGCGGAGCACGTTCCTCCTTACGGTGCATTACGGTATCATCTAAAATTAGTCGACTCTCCGTATGGCGTGCGGAACGCTACGAGCGTCGTATTCGCGAGCGTATCGGCGTATTCAGGGATTTTTCATGTCCAGGAACTGACCGTGTGCGCTCTGGTCGCCATTTTGCTTCCCCCGCACGTCTGACATGTCTTTCTAATGTTATTATCGACGAATGTTGAAATTTGTGGGTGAGACTCGGTTGTAACGTAACGAGTGGTTCTCTCACGGGAAAAAGATCGGGGCAAGTCTGATTGGTCGACGGGCGTAGGTCGCCGTCGTTGTCGTTGTAATAGCGATTCCCATTGTTCCAACCTCGGACCGAGCGAGAGCGCACAGGACCGATATACACGGAGCCAGCCTCGTCAGGATCGCGATTCACGAGCCGCCGCCGAGGGCAAGTATGTCGTGAGACTTCGTCCGAGGAATTCAACTGGCTGCGTCGCCGAGAAACCACGTCGCGATAACCACGCAAGGTGTCCCGTTGTCGATGTGACGAGCGAACCTAACCACAACACGCACACCTTCGATCGGCGACGTGTGTGCGCTCTTATGTCAACAGTGTCAACAGATCTCGCTCAATGATATGGCTCTGGACCCGTGGAGATTATCGAAAAGTAATCTGCCAGTTTTCGCCGCTTCTACGCACCGGCGCGCTATGCAGTTACCCAAACATGCGTAGGGCATGTTCGATGTAGACTACTATTTTGTGCGAGGCAAGGATTGTTTTTATCCTGATCTAGCCATGAACTAAGTTCACGCTTGCTGCTCAAACACAGGGAAACTCTAATTGTTGTCGTATGTACGTACAATATATATCCCAGCAGTTCGAAGTACTCGCAGCAACAGCAACGTACAGCTTTAAATGTATGATGTATATGCCGATACGTACGCACTTGTAATTTAAAGTATTACGTGTACTTTGTGAGCGTACATGAGGCGTTAATTAAACTAACGAAAGGGAGAGCGCAAAGGTTTTGTAAGCTCTGTACGGACTTGTAGAGTTTCACGAGACTTTTGTTCAACTTCGATACAAATTCCATGACTTGTTTGATCGTACGTATGCATATATGTTTAGAAAAGAAAGGGACATTATATTAGAAAGATGTACTCTGGTGACATGTTAAGATACTATATTAGTGACACGTTACATACATACTGAAATGTGACTAATATCGCACAACTGTCTTCTAATTTATTCAACTTTGTACAGTCTGGCTTGAGTCGAGCGTATTAGCCGCGCGAGTGGACTTTGATCTTTTTCTACTCGGAGAACATAATAGCAAAAACGTCTGTGATACGATACAATAATACATATTTTTTTAATTTTCATACTCTCAGTATTATATATTTTTAACGGATGATCTAGCTTGTACTTGGATACTTGGCACATAGCGTGAACTAAGTTTTATCTAGATAGGAAGAGAAGGTTGACTTGGAGGGTTTGAGAATGCAGGTGGAACAGGTCTGGACAGAAGCAGCAATCAATGAAGGTCCTTATTTCCGAAAACTCAAACATGGACAATAAATTGAAGTTTTCGGAGCGCTTGAAGGCTTTGCTGAAAACCGAGGCTCATCAAGATGTAGATCCGTACATTTTTAGTGAACCAGAACCGTTCTCTACGGCGGCAGGAAGAAATGCCACAGTGCAACAAATTCCATCTACAAATTCTAAAGTGATGCAAAGTTGTAAGAACAGTAAGTCAAAGGGAAAATGCATGAAGCAGAAGACGAGGATAGCGTCTGCGGCGGAGCCGGGCTACTGCACGACCGTCGGTGTCAACACCGTGACAGAGGGGAGCGTCGAGGCTGATATCGGCGAGAATCTAGATCACAAATTTTCAAGTTTGGTTCAGCATAAGCAGCGACATATTGAGAATTTGCAGAGACTACGATCCAGAAGGCAAAATCGGGACCACACTCTGTTGTATTATCCTAGAGCTGGGGACGAGATATCCGACAGCGAATCGAGCGGGGATGAGATGATGATTTATCAGCGCCACTGGTTCCCCGGCGAATCCTCCACGACGTTGAATCGCGCAGCCCGACTGTCCCAGGTGCGTTCGCAGCTGCAACGACGATTACTTCAGTTGGACACCGTTGGACCGGACGCTGAGGTTCTCCTGCGACACCGAGTCAGATGTTTGTTGGAGGCTGCTTGCAAAGATCCCGCTTCTACCGCGAGGGCTCTGAGCGATTCTCCGGGTACCAGCAAGGTGCTCGACGGACCACTATTAGTCGGTGGACCATGTGGAGCGGAAGGATGTCAGCAAACATCGTTGCCTTGTACACGGCACTGTTCCCGCCACATCATGCTAAACGGAGATCAGCTTCTATTCGAGCATTGCACTGCCAAATTTAGTGACAACACACAGTGTTGTATTCCTGTGTTTGACGTTGCACACGAATTACCTCTCTGTCCGGAGCATGCCAGGAAAAGGGACAATTATCACCGTAAAGCCCAAGAATCCAAACCAAAGAAAGCACGTAAAAAGCCAGCCTCGCCCACCATCCCGAGGCCTAAGCCTAAATCCAGACCGAAGAAGCGCAAGCGACCGCCCTCGAGCAACAAAATAGAGACTAAGGGTTCCGCATTGATGCACGAGGAGAGTCATTACATGAGCCAAATAAACTGTAGTGAAAATCATACCAAGACATTAAATAATTTGAATGTTCCACAGGGAAGTTCAAATACGTCTAACTTAAATCTAGGGTTGGGATTAGGCTCGCTCGGGCTGGGCGGCGGACTCAAAGTCGAGCTTGGAGATCACGAAGTGTTCGCTTCTTTGGATTCCGCTGAGCATGACTTCGGCAATGTGCTCAACAACTTACCCGCCGATGCTTTTAACGACTTATTTATTGGTAATTGCAGCAATACTTATGTAATTCTCGCATACGCGCTATCCTGTAAATATCGAGATTACGAGACTAGGACTATATATATGTGTGTGTGTGTGTATATATATATATATATATATATATCTACATCTACTCACACGGGTTGTGTCAGAGATAAAGGGTGTTTTCTTATTTTCAACTTGTAGAGGGTAGGAACGGGGAGTACGAACCGTCGAGAGAGGAAGAGGAGGAATTGGAGCGAGCCCTGGAAGAAGTTGATAAAGACGTACGAAATTTGGAGAGGATAACGGGGCAAACGCATGGACTCTTAGAGCCGGCTTTGCTCGCTCAGCTTATGTCGGACATTGCCTCGTAGCCCCACCATTCTTAATGTAATAATTTGGAAACGAGTTCGCGTGTGTTCCTCATAACGTAGAGACAAGTACTGTTCGTGTCTGTGCTGCTAAAATGTAAGATTGTGTTGTAGACTGTCATTATGTAGCCTCGCAAATCCGAGATAATGACAGTGATCGACATACAGAAAGTAAAAGGAAAAAAAAAAATGAAGCAGTAGCAAAACTCTTATGAATTTAGCGTAAACAGCATCGGGGGTACAGCACCACGGATAGATTTATGTGAAACGAGTAGCGACGTAAAAAGCCGAAAATTCCATCCTTTTTGACAAATAACCACGGACATTTTCTGTCATCGTCATAACACTTGCAACATATTTGTAGCTTATTCGCGGACATTCTGACTTGCACCCGAGAAATTCGCTTAGAAAAATTGTTGTAGTCGTAATAATACATGTGATGATTTTTAAGGATACGGCAGATGTACGGCAAGAAGAGTAGAGGAAACGAACAATATTACACAAATGGTTCGGGCTAGGTTCCAATACATACGAGGTAAAAGTACGCAAAAGTTACGTACTTTCAATTTTTATACACGACTTGTTTTTACTAAAAACGAAGAACACATATACACCACACACACACACACACACACACACACACACACACAAAAGAATTATCTAAATTACGTTACTAATATAGCTCCCATATTTATTGAACTACAGATAATGTTTAGCTAATTGCCGATTATTCAAATAATAGGTACAAGAATATTTTGTATGACTGATTTGTAATGATTTTATCTGTTGTCTCAGTTCTACTATATGTAGCAGTTGTACAATAGAAATTCTGATTTATAAATATTTAGCTACCCCGATTATAAAGTACCGAATAACTAGGGCTTTGAACAACATAACACTCGCGAAAGATGATTTGGTAATACCTTTCTTGTCATTAAGCGAAATTATCGTGGCCATTGTCTATTCGCAAGATTATTTTCACGGTGGGTTTCGTGAAGGAACGAACGATTTAATGAGGGATATATCATACGCAGCATCATTTGTTAAAAAAAAAAAAAAAAGAGAAAAAAAAGAAAAAAGAAAAAGAAAAAAGAAAAAGAGGAAAAATCATTCGGATAAAATACATTTTTTCCACAATTCGATTGTCATTGCAGAAAGAAGAAAAACCTTGTGCATAGAATATATTTATACAAACACACGACTGAATTTATAAGAAAGACATATAGGTATGTCTACAATACATAAATACATACATACATAACATATACGCATACATAAGTATGTGTATGTATGTGTAGAAGTAATTAATTTTTATCGTCTGATTGCTGCAATAACAGCTAAAAATAATCACATATATTGTTAATGATACGTGCATAATGATCGATATTGTCAGTTTTGTCCATTCTGTATTATATTCATGTAGAGAGAGAGAGAGAGAGAGAGAGAGAGAGAGAGAGAGTGAGTGAGTGAGTGAGTGAGTGAGTGAGTGAGTGAGTGAGAGGGAGGGAGAGAGAAGAGAAAGAAAGGCAAATATTCAGCGACAAATAGCTATAATATTTAAGTGAAAATGAAAATTAACGAAAAAAAAGTGCCGAATGAATTTTTATTTTTCAACGTTGTTACTAAATGCGCAATGTGATGTTTTGCGACTTTAGCAAAAAGATGACACGCCACATACATCGGTTGAAAGTGACGGGGGTATATATCATTATCGCGTACACTACAAAGGAGTAATTTCCAATAATTATTCGAGAAGGAAGTTTTTTTATATAGTGTAAAGGCACAGGATTTTTAAAGTAAAACTAGATCGGTGTCGTCGTGTAGATGGCTGAATTACTTACTGCCATTTGACTTTAAAACTATCCGCAGGTGCATACATAGTAGTATGTCCCTGTGTCTCCTCATATGAAGAAACGTAGTGGTATAAAATTGTCGCGAGATAAGCGGTGTACGGCGTACGATGACGAAATGATTATCATAATTTTAATACATATCGTAATAAAGCGTAAACGGTAAACTCCGAGTGTCGTGCATTATGTGTATGATTAACTCCTCACCAGAGAAATAATACAATTTACATAATACGATACGTACGGATGCATGGACGGGCTGATGATGATGTGATCTTGGAATCTAGTTTTTATTATCAAAATTACTGTGCCAAACACATACACACGTACACACACACACACACACACACACACACACACACACACACACACACACACACACACACACACACACACACACACACACAAAAGAGAGGGAAACATTTCTTTTTTTTTTCTTTTTCTTATTCTTTCTCTTTTGCTTTTTCTTGTCGCGACGTGATACGTGTCATTTATTCGAGAGAGACGGTTTGTAAAGGAGCGCGCTTTAAGTAATGAATGTTTAGCTGAATGTGAGTGATTACATAGACGAGACTTTAAGTAAAAAGAAAAAAAAAATTATCACATGTAAATGAAAAAAAAAGCACGGAAACAGAATAATTTACAGATCGACCCATATTGGGGGATTAAATTAGTGTCGTAAACATTGTTATTATGTATAATGGTAGTAAGTAGGTACAACAATAATGAATTATTTATGGACAGAACAATGCCGAATTTAATTGTAAACATAAGCGCATTGCTTGAAATGTACCTATACGTGTATCTCCTTGTAAAATATCAGCATTATTACTCTTGATTAGGCATTACCAATTATAATAAGCATATTTTTTACATTGTGTTACAGTATTCCTCCACCACACGCACACAGAGTTTATCCATCCTCGTCACCTGTCCTCGACAGAGTATATATCAGTTATTATCACCTGACGAAGTATTATATGCAGACTTTATACTTTTACTTTCGGCATGTTATCTTTGGAGCGATCTTTCAGCGATATTCTCGTAAGTATATCCTCACTTCTTCGAGTCAATGTTCGCGCGAATCTGCGTGCAAAAATTTGTGAACGTGTGCATATAAAATTCGTATTTCAATCCGAACTATCGTTCAGTCTATCGTCGTTGCCACAGAGTAGGTGTCGGTTGGTTTGCGTGTGTGCCGTCTCATTTCTCGAAGAATCCATCTCCTTCGCGCTGCCTTGCGGATCTTGTCGTATCTCTTGTTTAATATTTCAGCTTCTTTCGTCGGGAACTCCTTTGCCAGCTCGTATTCCTGAACAAGTGTCAAGAAACCGAGAGATTCGTCTCTTTCTACATTCAGTTAGGAGTTTCCTCTTTCTGTGCGCTGCGAAGACGCGAAGCACTTACCAAAATTTTGTCCACTTCATGCGTCCGCACCGCTCTCTTGTCGAGCGAATCAACCTCCGCCGGTATCTGCTCCTCGTACGGCATTAACATTGTATCGTAATCCGAGCGATTGTGACCTAATATACCTACTTTGATGCCCAATTCGGATAACGTTTCTTCCTCGGCTAGGATAGCATTCCTCAGATAAATGATCTTCGGATCCTGCACTGCGATGTCCACCACCCCTTTCGAATAGAAACATACGATATGATTGCTTTCGTCGACGATTGAACGCACGTACAGCTCTGTCTCTGCTCTATCCTAACGCGAATATACATGTCGAGAATAACATGTCGGACGATAAGAGAGGCGCACCTAACGATAGGAGACGGTAGTCGCAGTCCGAGTGTATTATTTCGTGCAACAACGGGCAGTTCCTCAACAGTTTCCTCTTCAGCATTGCTTTAGGACCCTGCAACACCCGAGTGTCGTTCTCCAGCATATCCCGGATGATTTCACCGCCGCTTTGCCTGTACGCGGCTGTATTGTACGCGTCGGTGCGAAGTAGCCTGTGCAGCTCTATCTCTGTGAAAAAAAAAAGACACTTCTTTCCTCCAAGAGTGTACTTTGCTACTCCTTCAGACACATAGACAAACAGACAGATCGCTGTTTCTCTCGCATGGCTTACGAGATAAGAGGTCTCACCGATCAAAATGTAATGTTTGCGACCTAACGCTATCCAGACGATGCGATGAGCCACGCTTGTCAACGCTTCGAAGATCCTCAAGTCCTTCTCGCCCTGCGATTGCATGATCGACACCGTTCGCTTCTTGCTGGTCATCATATGATGATATTGCGGCCCATCCTGGCAACCCAATAGCAGGTCCATGTACTCCCTACCCAGCACACAGCGAAGAGCTTGCATCTGCTCGGTGTAGCGAGTCCTGTGTCCTCGCGCCAACGGATTCGGCGCCTTCTTCATGGTCGCCGCCCGCTCCCGCACGAGATCCTCGTATATGTCCACGTAGTGTTGAAAGTAGACGATCAGTACCCGCAAGAATCGGTCGACGGTCGGCAAATGCAAGAAATTGATGAACTGGATGCTGATGGGCGACACGAGCAGAAACAGCACGAGATCCTTTATGTCCTGCAGGATGATCACATCCGCCTCGGTCGGCGGCACCTTCCTCTGATAACATTTACGAAATTTAATCTGTAAGGACGAGCGTGCAATTCATTTAATTTTCTCTCTCTCTCTCTCTCTCTCTCTCAAATCTTATCTGCCTTTTGTATTAATTATTAAGAAAAAGCTTGAGCGGCTCGGGGCCCGCTCCTTCACCTTCTCGTTGTCGTTTAACGTTTCTTGATAATTAAGGATCAAGTACGCGTGCGGACAGTAGACCGTTGACGTTTCAGCAGCGGCAGTTTGCTTCTTTCGTCTTTTGGCATGCTCATCTTCAGACTTCGTCACGCTGATAAGTACAGATTGATTTTCGCATGTAGATTAAATGTGTCGCAAATTTTCACTTTACATTAACGTTATCTTTCAGCACATTCATAATCTAATTCACTAAGCCAATAGCTTGTGTTTGCATCAACGCTCCGATAATAAAATTGCGTCGATGTGTAAAAATACGCGTCACCGCCGTCATTGAGCCGGTTGAGCTGGTCTTTTTTTATCACAAACACTTTGAGAGTTACTAAATTGCATCGCATAAAAAAAAAAAAAGAAAGAAAAAGAATTACAGAAGTGTATCAGAAGTAATGAAAGAACATGTTTCTGAACGATGTTTCGAGTGAAGATAGATTTTCCCAACGAATTTTGCAAAGTCTTTTATTACCTCAATAGAATTAATCCTTCTGTGATTTCATCCCACGTAAACAGTCTCTCGGTCATATTCGGGTATCATGTTATCGAGATGTTATACAGTTCTGTTTCTCTATCTTTTTCCCTCTTTACAATTTTATAATAGAATTTCCAGGTTATCAATTTCTAGCAACTGACACATGTTCTCCTGCTGATCTAGTACATAGTGAAGGTATAGCACAGTCAAATTATTGATCCTAGAGAGGTACATATAGCCGCGCGTACGAATGTATGTATGTTTTGAGCGATATTTACTTTAACGTACAAACGCGATGCAATTGCTCATCGGTCTTATTACGAGATTTTCGTTATTTTTTTGTGATATTTTGACACTCGTCAACGTGACCTTCCTCGAAACGCGTGGTTATCTTTGATATTCAAAATTATCAATGAAATTATTTGTCGATGTTTCATTTATCATATCTGACAATTGTGTTTAACATTTTTATTACATTTACTTTGTAGATCAATCGATCTATTATTAAATTGTGTAAAAATTAAGTGCTTGCCATGTATGTAATCAGTTTGTGATAATTAATCGTATGTAATAATTAAGTGCAAATCAAGATATATCCTAAGAATCAGAGAATTCAAGAAACACCACGTTCATACATATCCTCTTTAAATATTTATTTCTGTTATAATACAATAAACATACAATAAATCCTATGTTTTCGTGTTCTTTATTATCCGGAAGGGTGGCAGGGAGTCTAAAATTGGTTTATCCTCAGGGAATATTGGTTCACCCGGTGTGTTTAAAAGTTCAATATCTTCCATTTGCATGTTTGGTGACCGATGATTCAGACGACATCTCACCTTCACTTGTTCACGATTATTAATCGTAAGGGTCACGTAAAACTCCTTTCCTTCTATGTCCGGATTCGGACCAGATATCGGTTTCTCGGGTATTGTTATAGTATTCTCGGGTGCGTGGATACCGGCTTTAAGGAAGTTCACCTTTATATGCCATTTCTCTAATGTCCATGGTATGCCTTTTGACATATCGACCATTAAGCGCATATCTGATAAATATTTTATTGTGCTCTCAACAATGGCAGAGCTAAATGGCGTCTGGTCTCCTAGATCCTCTGCCAATTTTGTGTATTTCATAATGTTTTCAGGAGTAGCATAATCTGCGAATCGTGGCAATAAAAGTTTATAATATGCTTTGTATGGAGGCATTGTCAACTGAGTTCCCGCATTACCAAGTCCTTTTACATATTGTGTTAAAATCAAATTAATTGGCTCTTTCTTTTTCACATTTGTATCCTCGACAAGGTCGTAAATAAAGTGTCTTGACTTTAATAAATGGGGCTTGCAATTTTTTTTGTGAAGTCTTATAGGATATCTCCTTTTGAGGATGAAAGTATTCTGCAAGCATTTTATATATGAGTAATGGAAAAATGTATAATACAATATAAATTATATTGTTCAATTACTTAAAAAGCCAAATAAATTTGCGCACATAAAGTACATCTGTTAAAGTTAACAGTAAAGATACTTAGAGATCTGCAGTCAACATTCTTTTAATTTTTAATTTTATGCATGTGTTTTAATTATATGTATAACAAAAACATAAGGATTAATAGAGATTTAAGAAACTTACTCGAGTTTGTTGTAATAAAGAATTTGCATTACTCAGTAGAGAAGGCATTGCCAACGATCTTACATGATTTACGAATAATTTCGGATAATTCAGCATATTTGTTTTTTTTTGTCCTTTTGAAATATTTCAATGACAAGACTGCTTAAACAATGAAATCTTTGTTTCTTTTTTTTTTTTTTTTCAATGGTTTGCCCACCGTGCAAACGATGAAGTAATTTGTAGAGAGGTTAGTTCACTAAAGTCAGTTCACTGTTGGCAGAAAAAAAATATTATCACTCGCGATTAATGGTATAATTGGCTTCTACGATAGATTTCTATATTTGCTAGTAGCCAATAGTAATAAGAGAGAATATCTTACAAAAATCATACTTGATAAACCATTATGATCTGGATACGAACAACATGCTGTGCACGGTAACATAACCTTATGGGAAATGACTGATACGTAGTGACGAATATTTATTTACGTACATATGTCAACGAATATTTCTTTAATGAACATCTAGCAAATTAAAAACTGGAGAAAATAAAACGAGCAGTTAAATGCATTATCAGTGTTCTTATTGAGTCAATATGAACAGCGGTGAACCGATGCTGAAAGAAATACTGAAAGACGCTCTCACGTATCTACGAGAGCCTTTATTATTGCAAAACATGCTGCGAAACTCCGACGGTTCATACGAATGGAAACTGCTCGAATGGGATTTCATGGAATTTGCAGAAAAATTGAAAGATTTAAAATTACCCTTTCGAGTTGGTTATAATGCTAGACTTATGGTAGAAACATTTATTATAAATTATACATAAATTGTCATTTTTTAAATACACTTCTTTCTTTATAATAATTGCTTTATTGGATTTGTTTGAGATTGATTGGATCTTATCTCTTTCAGAGTCCTCAATGGGAGAGACATTGTCCTGTAAAATATATGACACTGCGGGAGTTTATTGACAATATGAAAGATTCAAAGGATGAGATGTGGTATTATTTTGATTACAAATATATGCATGAGTGGTTTGATAATAAACCAGAAATTATGACTTCATTAAGCTGGCGCAACTTTGGAATTGACAAAGATGGATTTGATTCTACTCTATGGATTGGAAGTAAAGGCGCTCACACCAATTGTCATCAGGATTCCTATGGTTACAACTTGATAGCTCAAATACATGGCAGGTTTGTTCCGATAGAACAGAACAAACTGACTGATTTCTCTTCAGTTATTTGTTTTACAGATACATACACACACACACACACTCATCCATCCCATTGCCCTTTTTAAAACTTTGTATTATGTTTTTATAGAAAAGAATGGTTGCTTTTTCCACCAGACTCCAGCAATTTTTTGGAACCAACTAGAATTCCTTATGAGGAATCAACCATATATAGTAAATTTAATTTCTTTTGTCTGAGTAAGGAGGATGAAACAAAAGTATTGAATATGCCTTACAAACCAAAAATAATAATTCTTGAACCTGGAGATGTTTTATTTGTGCCTTGGGGCTGGTGGCATTATGTTGAATCTTTGGATCAAAGTATGAGTATTAACATATGGTTACCATTAAAAGAAGACAATAAAGCAAGGCTTAAGGAAGCTCTTGTTAAGTTGACAATAGCTAGGATCGGGGGCCAGAAATATATCACATCTGAGGATAGAAATGACTGTATGTCTTACTACACACAACTGGTAATTTAAGACATACAAATACTATTGATTAAGTTCAAAGAGGAATTCTTTGATTAATCTATATCGTTATGTCGACAGATTGATGTTGCTCTTCAAGAATGTAAAAACAACATCGATAGTACATCAGATTTTGTTTCTGCAAAAAGAGTGAAATATAATCTATGGACTGTGGAAGATTTAGTCATGCAGTATTCTAAACATATTAAGCCGTTATATGATTTAAAAGATCATGAATTAGAAAAGTTTCTTCGAGAGAAACGAGAAAGATTTCCAAAAAGTAATTTCACTTCAGAGCTGCCTCAAAGATCAATAGATACTAAAGCAGTACCACCACTTGGAACATCTTTAGAATCTATCATCAATGCTTTATGTCATCCAGATGTCGTTAATAAAGCAGCGGAATTATTATTACACGACACGAGAAAATAATAAGGGAGAGAGAAAGAGAGAGAGAGAGAGAAATATTTACTTCATTGCGTATCTGAAAATGATAATTAAAATAAGAGGTAATGATAATTAAAATGAAAGATTACAAATATGTATATTTATATGAAAAACTAATCTGTCTTTTTCGTACATTATTCCTCTATATGATTATCTAATAAACTTTTATTTTACTTTTATCTTAAAACTTTATTACGTAAACTATTTACACAGTTATATATAAAAAAAATTAATTTTTTCTTCAGGTTATAACCCTCTTAGAAACATCGTGGCTGGAATATGAAGTTGTAGCTCGAAATAAGCTGTCGTTATTATTATTATTTAAATAAACTGTCGTTATTATTTTTCCTGCTCCCCAGCCTGCTCTTTTTACACCTCCGGACATAGTCTGGCATAGAGATGGCAAGTGTAGTTGCAACGCGGACGTAAACCGCCTGAAAGTGGATGTAGCACGGACTTCCACCGCATGCAGATTTTACCACCGAGACTTGAAAGTGGATGTAGCATCGTAGTTCCCTTCTCAAAATGAATGCAGATGGCGTCCTTTCCCAGTGCGGAAAGTCGGTGTCGCAGAAAATGCTGTATTGGCCACTTTCTCTCAAGTTTCTCTCTGATAAAAGTCTTTGGTTGAGAGTGGCGTTGGAGCAGTACCCTATTTTGCCCAGAGCCATTTATTGAATTGAAAAGTCTTTTGTTCGCCTCCGCGGCGGTTGGATGCGGTTCCCGTAACTACGTATATTTTTGATCTTGGGGACTTCGTACGCGTTATCCCTGTTGTTTTATTTCCAAAATCGTTGTGATTGGCGTAAGAGAAGGAGTATAATAACTCTGCTGAGACCTGGTCTACAATACATGTCGTAAGTTGTAAGCCGTAAGGGCCAGAGCACAGACAGACTTCTGCATAACGCACAATACACAACGCATAAGAGAATCAACCAATCAGAGTTCTTCATTTCTGTCCTGAGGAGGGAAATGAAGAAAACTAATTGGTTTATCTGTTATGTGTTACGTGTTATGCAAAAGCCTGTGCTCTTGCCCTAAGAATTGGCGAATCACAGTCGATTATTACAAAAATAATCTGCTGTAATTGGTCAGTTCTTACGGTTTACAGCTTACAACACGTATTGTAGACCAGGCTTCGGGCAAGAGCACAGGCTTTTGCATAACACATAATACACAACGCATAAGAGAATAAACCAATTAGTTTTCTTCATTTCCCTCCTCAGGACAGAAATGAAGAACTCTGATTGGTTGATTCTCTTATGCGTTGTGTATTATGCGTTATACAGAAGTCTGTGCTGTAGCCCTTCAGAGACATATATTGAATGAATGAATGTTTCTCTCTGATCGTATAAACTTTCGAACTCTTGTTTGTATTTATTAACTAGAATATGAAGTTCTTGCGATTTTGCCAATAAATTATGCTATTGAGGAATAAAAAAGAATCGAATATTGCGATTCATCGTCAATAATTTTTTATCACCTGCACATAAAGGTTAGAAACATCTTCGTCAAATATTTATCCGTCAATGCTCTGAATGTTGTAAAGTATCAGACGACAGATAATGGGCTTGTTAACCGTATTGAAAAAATTGAAACAAAAAGAGAAGGAGATGCGGATTCTGATGCTGTACGTATATACGTTTGTGTATATATTTTATATATTCAGTTTGTGGTTAATTTTTATGTTCACAGGTTAATAAATTCTTCACTAATCAAATTTGTGATTAAGTGATTTAACATTGTTACAGTGACATTTAGAAGTAATTATCGCACACATACACACACATGTTATTACTTCTCTTAGAAGATATTTCATATTCCATTATTGAATATCAGCATTGGATTTTAACTGTTTCAGGGGCTTGGATAATGCAGGCAAAACGACAGTGTTGAAGAGACTTAATGGGGAACCGATAGATACTATATCACCAACTCTTGGCTTCAATATCAAAACATTGGAACATCGAGGTTACAAGCTCAACATATGGGACGTGGGTGGACAAAAATCGTTACGTTCATATTGGAGAAACTATTTTGAGTCAACAGATGGGCTCGTTTGGGTAATAGACAGTGCAGACAGAAGAAGACTGGATGATTGCAAAACAGAGTTGTACAAGCTGTTGCAAGAGGAGAGATTAGAGGGTGCAAGTCTCCTTGTGTTTGCTAATAAACAGGATATGCCTGGTGCATTATCTGCATCTGATATAGCAGAAATTTTGGAGTTACCTAGTATAAAGACGCATCATTGGCAAATTTACAAGTGCTCTGCTGTGACGGGTGAGGATCTGGTGGATGGTATCAACTGGATCGTGGATGATATTGCAGCGAGAATATTCTATATAGATTAAATTAAATTAAATGCACGAGTCTGCTACGACCAGTACTTCTTGCTTCATTAAATGCGCAATGTTTAAAGTATTTCAGCAAAAATTTAATATTGCAATTTGCATTATAAAAGTAAGACATGACAGCAGAGATACTAAAGAAGATACCTAAGAAGCTATTTCGTATTTATTTGCATACATATATTTGGAATCTCTCCATTTGCTAAACTACAACAAAGGTTCCTTCATCATTAGATAATAATAAATTTTGCAATTGACTCTTGTAATTTTTTAACATATTTCAATGTATATCTTTATTATTTTCTGAAGTTTAACAATTTACACATTAAAAGAATCGTTAAAGTAAGGTAAACTGAGTATTGTTACACATATACTCTCTTCGGTTTATTTCCTTTTGTTTCTCCACATTAATTTTGTATATTCGCTAATTCCCGTCCTCTTCCATCCATTTGATACCTTTTCTTTTCTTCTGCGTTGGTGGTCTTGTTGCCGGATATTCTTTCAGATAAAACGATTTTAGTAGACCTTGATCGACAGTATTCTTTCTCGTCCCTTCGAACACATTCATAATTTCTTCGACGAGTGTTTTCGAGAGTTTCAGCCTAAATTTCTTTACCAGTGCTATGAATCGTGCTACAAGAAAGAAAACAGGTGCTTGAATCTTTCTCGTGTAGTACCTAATTAATAGTTAGATTATTCCTCTCATGATTCTGGAGAAAACAGAGTAAACACTGAAAGAATCGTTACACATACGTCGCGAAATCTCTTTATCTAACAATGATATCACAAACTGCCCGAAGTCTCGGCGTTGCTTCTTCCTTTTCGGCATCATCGCCTCGTAGTTCGCTCTTTCCAGAAGTATTTTTTTCTCATTCGGCCCAGCGAGCTGGTAATTGCTCAGAATACCGCCCAGTTTGACTACGACTCCCGGTCTGAGCTTCTCGATCATCTCCAATTCTCGCAGGATATCCTTATTCGCCCAAACGTTTTCCAAGTCCAGAAGGCGTAAAGCTACATCGGGCGATGTGATCGCGTGAACCAGAACCAAAGCACCTTGTGCCTTTAAAGGATTGTTGCCCAGATGTAGTTCTTGAAGCGTGTTATTTTTGGCTAGAGCTGTCGCGATGTGCACAGCGTCTTTCTCTGTGAAACCATTTCCTGCCGAACGCGAAAAAGATGTAAGGGGAGAGCCGAGAGAGCGCTCTGTATTTTAAGGTTTTTTTTTTACCGCGTGACCGACCGGTTTACTTCAACCGACCTTATTAATAACCAGCAGTATTTAAAGGATATCTATATTAGATATCTAATATGTACAGCCTTCTCTCTCTCTCTCTCTCTCTCTCTCTCTCTCTATATATATATATATATATATATATATATATCTTTTTCTGCTCACATCTTGATATCATACAAGAAGAAGAAAGAAAAGAAAGAAAAGAATACAGTCGGATATACACGAGATGGAGCAAACAAGCTTACGATTGAGATTGAGCTTTTCGATGCTCCGCGACTGCAACAGCAATTGGCACAGGTAAGGCACGCACGCCGATCCAAGTCCGTTCCAGGACAAGTCCAGGGAAAGCAGCGTCTCGTTCTTCCCGAGTCCATCTGTCAGAGCTTTCCAAGTCTCGACGCTATGTAAGGAGTTCCAGGACAGGTCCAGGTGCTTTAACGTCTCCATATTCGACAGCAAGTTCCGCAGATCTTCCGAACACGATTCGTTCAAACAATTGCCCGATAGATTAACGCTCTCGAGAGCTGGATTGTCGGATAAGGCGGACGCAATATGCTCGAAACCTTCATTCCCGATGTCGCAGTCGCCAAGATCGAGTACCTTCAGCGTCGTATTCATCGATATCGCCTTGCGCAACTTCTTCGCGCCGTTCGTGCCTATTCGACACGCCGACAGCGATAAACTGATGATCGCGTTGTTCTCCAGCAGGAGCCTGTTCAAGTGCCCGCACGCTTCCTCGGACAGCTTGTTGTCCTGCAACGATCATGCATGCATGAGCAATCGATGAGAAGAGAAAGCAAAAAGAGAACACGTTCGAAGTGCCGATCGACGTGTGTTAATCACGTCGCTGCGTTGATTGTCGTTGATTGCCGTTGATTGTCGTTGATCGCAGGAAAGTTAAGCTGATGATTGAACCATCGAAAATCTGAACAGGCTGAACAAACACAACTTTGTTTCTACACGGGTCTCTACACGTTTGTCGTTTATCGCACCTTGAGATCCACTTTTCGCACGAAGGTGTTGCCCGTCAAGCCCTCGCAAATTGATCTCATTGCTCGCGGCTCGAGTCCGTAGTAGCGCAGGTTCACCTCGTCGGTCACGAGCATGTGCCTCAACGATTCGATCGGCCTCGAGCCGGTGCGCTTCGCCGCGTCGTGATATTTCCGTCCGTAGTCGTCCTGGTAGATTGGAGGGGGCTCGTACAACGTCCAGAAGGCTGGTATCAACCCGGGGTCAGGTGGGATCTGGTACACCGTGTAGGGATTCTCCAGTTTCAGCTGGGAATCGCTGATGTCTATATCGCGAAGGCACGGATGGACCGAGCTCTCGGTGGTCGTCTCCTCGCTCGCAACGGAGACTTCCTCCGGCGTGATCAACGTTTCCTCGGATTCGGTGGTGACCACTTGCCTGCTGATCTACCTAGCGTCGATCGTGTAGATCGCGTAGACCAATGAAAATGAAATGTGAGCGAAACACCAAGATCCAAGAGATTTATATTTCGCATTCCATGCAGCTTGATTTTGCAATGTGCTTTCTCATCAAGGATTGTGGAATATACCGATCGAAGACTTGGAAGAAGAAGAAGAGTAAGATGAAAGAGTAAGAGGAATATCGTGTTTGAATGTTCTAAAGCGTTTTAAACTCAAATTACACCAATCGGACGACATGGTTTCTCCTCCTCTTCTTCAACCTTGATCGCCAATATGTCCACCTCTCCGACTTTCGTCACTGCTTTTGTTGCTACGTCAATTTTGTCGGTTGCTCTCAATTCCTCTTCTTCTTCCTCTTCCGTATAGACATCATAATTATCATAGTCCTCCCATATGTCCACGTGTGAATAATCCAAAGCTTCGACAACATTCTCGATGTCTTCCATCGTTTGAGTGAAGTTTGCGTAAATATATCGATTTACGTTTCCATTGAAGAAAACCTGGTGTGGGGATTATTCGAAAATATACAAAACATATATGAGAAAATAAATGTACAAGAAATAAACAACGCGACTTTTGCATTTGCAGCAGTCGCGCGAAGCCAACCGTGAATTTATGCACCAAATGCAAAATATTCGCTTGAAGGAGAGACGATCGCCCCACTGTCGGGAGCGAAACAATCGCCGCTTGCGAATGCGAATTGACGACGACGACGACGACGACGACGACGACGACGACGACGACGACGACGGCGACGACGGAAATCCAAACCAGAAGGAAATAACATCTTACGCGAATTTCTACGACCACCGGAAGTGCCCGAAAAAAATTATCATTATCGCGTTCGCGGCACGCGACCCAAATTTCGAGCGACCTAAATCGATGTAGCCCGGTCAACGATTATGATATACAATATATACGTTGAAGAAAGCGCTGGAAAGGGACTGTCCGTCGGTCCGTGGGTAACGAGGACGTTACGAGGACGTCGCCGATCGGCGGTCACACATATCGCGTTTCACACGGGCCGGACAGTCGCGTCCGTCGCGGGGTGTGATTCATCCACCGGCGATCTGTCAAGTGGCTCTTCTGGGCCATTGTATTGTAATTTCGGCGGAACGTTCATTCACACACAGCGGTGCCGTTGTCGCGTCGCGGCAATGAGATGGCCTCACCGGGAGGCCATCTCTTTGTTAATCTGAGACGCGCCTCGCGATGTGGTAATCGTCCTGCCGGCATTATCCCTAATGAAACAATCGCGACGGGCCATTGAGAAATCGGCGCGCCGAGCACACCGTTCTCGTCCTCGGTGCTCGGCTCGGGCCACGGGCAACGGGTGCAACAATAAATCGCCTGAACACCGTTTTCTTACGTCGAAGGGTTGTACTTTTTATTGAAACCTTCCATCGTGTGTCTTAAACCTATGCGGGACAGGAAAGAAGAGAGGATGAGAGAGGATGAGAGTGGGTGGGCGGGAGGACTGGTGGGAAGGAGCATTATGTACACGCACTCATTCGCACACTTTTCGATGTCGGACACGGGTGATCACAACGCGCGGGTATCCACTATCTATCGTCGATCAGACCAGAAGCATTAGTTCGATTGTTATTCGTAGGTACGATTCGTATAATCTATCTATACTCGTCGACGAGATTGAACGAAAGCGCGCGCGCCGAAAGAGACGGAGACGGAGACGGACAGACAGACAGAGAGAGGGGGAGAGAGAGAGAGCGAGAGAGAGAGAGAGAGAGAGAGAGAGAGAGAGAGAGGGTGAGAGCTGAGGAAGAAACTCATAGAAGAATATACGAACTATTGCTTGTGATCCACGAATTTTAATATACGAGATGATATAAAATAAAAAATATAACATAATATATATATATAATATAAAATAATATATATAATATATAATATATCTATATTTATATATTTATATATATATATATATATATTTTTACCAAATCTCTCTCGCTTCTCTCTACGCGCGCGTATTCGTACATTACAATATATAATTTTCTCTATAAAATATAAAAAAGTATTTGTTTCATACGGAGATTTGTTCCTTCTTGCTGTAAACCTACAAACGTACACCTATCTAAGGCGAGCTACGCTTCTCCATAGCGTTTAAACTAGTTTACATGCGTTTAACGCGAGCGTTTATCGCTTGGTGAGAAACGTTTTTAAAAACAACGCGACAAAGAAGAAGAGAAGATAAATTGCACATCATATAAAGACAAAGGGGTCGACAATGACTGGGAAGGGGGGGAGGGGGAGGGTTGGATGAGAACGATTCGGATGTAACATGCGTACGTGAATTTATTTACATCGTTCCACGATGCGATATAGCGTCACTTTGCGCATCGTTCGGCTTCACTTTTGCGTTCAGGCGCATCTTCTAAATCGTTATTCACGCCGTTAATGTAATATTTGCAACAACAATTTGACATGTGTTTACACGTGTTTATGTATGCCACACAATTCCGTATAACGTAAATGAAGAAAAAAAAAAAACCAAAAGTTAAAGCAACACTTTATTCATGCGAGAACAAATTAATCGACAATAAAATTTAGACACGTTTTAACTTACGTCTGGACTGAATTTCTGCATTTAAAGACGTTGTTGAAGTTACGACGAATAACTCCATGTCGCTTTCATGTTCGTTGTAAATCTTAACGGCGTGTATATAGTTTGTGCACGAGACACGCGGAATAACGCGGACTAAGTAAGTGTTATCCGGCTGTTTTCTCGCCGTGTTGAAAAGGACAAGATCGCAAGATCCTCTCGCAGTGGTGATATCTTTCATCGCGTGCCGTGTCCTCGCGAAAGTAAAATTCGATCGAGCGCTGAAAGTGGACGAACACGCAAATAGTGCCATAGTCAACGCCTACGCCACGGCATTTCTTCTTCTATGAGTATCACAATAATATCGTCTGAAGGAACGTTCGAAGCCCAACATTATATATATAATACAAAATATACCTTCGCGTATATGCGATATCGAACGATACACTGCGCAATGTTAACAGTAACGACGATCGTGAATGCAACGCGTCTAGTAAGAAAGAAAAAATAAAATAAAATAAAAAGAAGAAAGAAAAAAAAAAATAGACTTCCTTTGCCCGATTTATTTACACACGTTATATAATATCATGCGTTTTCGCGATCTTACTCCCGCGATCGGTTTTTTCGGCCACTTTAACGAAGCGCAGCTTCATTTCGACAATTGTATGTTGTCACGCGACTAACGTACATACATCTCGTATTTGTCGCGGTGTCACCTGTGCGACGAAAACTTCGACGATAGCGGCAAAGAACGCAGAGTACAGTGAAAACGGGCACATTAAACGAGTACAAGATCGAGCACAAAACGAATATGACATTAAGACTAACTTAAGGATGGCGACGCTGTGAAGGATAAGAAGGGCAGGATGGAGCAGGAGATACAGACTTAGCGACATTAATAAGTACGAGCTATGTACATATGTACAACGATATAACAACTGGTCATTTTTCATTAAAATTATTTATAATTATCGATTGTTTATTGTCATATCGCAAGAGTGCGCAGAGGGAGGACCGAATGGCGGGGGGGAGGGGGGAGGGGGGGGACAATGAGAGAGAAAACGACTTCTTTGCGCGCGCGACCTTCTAAATTTACAAGCTGGAGGTTCGCGCCATGTCGCGAATTATTAATCAATTATCATTATAATAATTAATCAAGAAGATCAAGCGTTGGCCGACGTTGACCGAAGAGGAAACGAATAACCGTATAAACCGATCGTAATACGAAGACAATGAACATTTTTTCGCTTCGCAATCGAAGAAGCATTCACAGAGCGTTATACTGCATAGTAAGTAGCAGATTCTTTTAGGAGCAGAGAGAGATTCAAGTCGCGCATTCTTCTTTCTCTCTTCGTCCCTCGTTCGTCCCTAGTATAGTCTACACGCTGTCTCGACCACCGCGGAGGGATAATCTCAGTGGGGAGCAAACTTACCGGGGAGTTATCCCGAAATCGAAACGGGTCGCGGTTTCCGTTATCACATAAGAATCAAATTGTCCAGGTAAACCTCTCAGTCTCGGGCGTATCGTAGATCTACTCTCCGTCTCTAGCGTTATATCTCTTACGTCCTCAGAAAGATCTTCCTCGCTCTAGAAGAATCCCCGCCCCGTTGCGCGGTCCCCACGCTCCGTATGTTTCCCCCCCCCCCCCCGGCCGGGAGAAATCCGGGAGAATCCTCGGGGAACATGCGTCGGGGAACATGCGGAACCTCGGAACTGTTTCCACTTGGACGGTTCAAACACTCGATCACACATGCACCGTCAGCACTTGATGCGGTCCCGATGGGGTCTGGCTGGTACCCGGTTGCTGATGCGGATACGACGGCTCCTGCAGTCTAGGCTTGCTGTAGGGCTTGTGTGCGCCCTCCTCGTAACTGAAACTAGCCGTGTTGTTCCTAGCTTCGGCGCTGGGTGGCTTGTAGAGCGGCGGCAAGCGGTGTCTACCTTCCTCGGACACCATCTCCAGGCTTTCCTCGGTGGCGGTCAGACTGCCGAGCGAAGGACCCGACAACGGTCTCACGACCGATACTCTGGGCTCGCTGGAGTCTTGATCCTTCAATGGATTCGCGTATCTCCTCAGATTTTCCTCGTTCTGAAGATTATTCGACTTCTCATCCAGATCGCCGCGATGTCGGTGTAACGAAGTCTCGCTGCTGGTGGTCGCCGTCAGACTGGATCTGTGCCTGACGGATTTGAGGTACCAGAGGCCACCGAACAGCACCAACACCAGTATCGCCGCTAGAGCGCCGCCGAGAACGGCCACGTAGCTACCGGCGTTGCTCGCACCCGACGAGTTGGGCTCGCTGAGCAAAGCCGTCTCCACTTTGACCTCCAACACGGAGGCCAGAGCGAGAGGTCTTGCCAGTGGACGGCTGAGGGCTTCGCCGAGGTCTCTCGCTGCATCGGCTGCCGCCTCGGAGAAGATGGTCACTTCTACCGTGTCGTTGTCGCCGGGTTTCAGATCGCAGAGCAGCACCACCGACTGCGGTCTACGCGGATCAGCGAGGAGTCTTCTCAGACGACGACACAGTAGCTCCACCGACGTACCGGCCGCCAGGGTGTCCCTCCTCAGCAGTATAGTGAGTCTCGAGCAGGTTGGTCCTGGTGTGGACTGCCCTGGCCAGCAAGATGGAGGAGCCGGTAACGCCGGTGGTCCCACTCTCCTGCCGGTTTCGATGGGCCGGCACTCACCCCATGCCGGACACGGCGGTGCCAAGCAGCTCTCGCCCGGACTAGGAACGCATACCTCGTGGGCTAAGCAGGAGGTACCGTTGAGGCAGTTACCCGGACCGCACCAGACGTTGCTGCATTGATTCTTGCCGTTTCGACACTCGCACACGTTGCAATCGTCATCCCACGTGGCGGCCATGCAGCCAGGCCCGCCGGCGGTCCTGATTTCGCATCGTATGCCAGTTCTGCCAGGTGGACAGATGCAGGAATAACTCGCGATACCGTCGACACAGGTAGACCCGGCCGAACACGGGCCGCTCGCGCATTCGTTCACGTTGATGCGACAGTCCGGGCCGGTGAAGCCGGGCGCGCACTCGCATCTGAACCAGTTGACGCCGTCGACGCATTTGCCGCCGTTCAGGCAGGGCAGCGGTTGACAATCGTCGACATTACGCCGGCAGTTCGGCCCTTCGAAGCCCTCACGACAGACGCAACGGTAGTTGCCGTCCGCGGTGTTCACGCAGGTCGCTCCATTCTCGCAAGGGTTGCTCGCGCACGCCGGCGACGCGATGTGGCAGGCTGCTCCCTCCCAGCCGACTGGGCAGTGACACGCGAAGCCATCTCCGCGATCCTGACAGGTGCCACCGTTCCGGCAAGTGCCCGGCTCGCAGTGACCGCCGCGCAGTGCGCAGGTCTTGCCCTTCCAGCCGCCGCGACACAAGCACTTGAAGTCCGCCACGCCGTCCATGCAGGTGCCGTTGTTGCGACAAGGTTTCGTCATGCACTCGTCCACGTCTGAAAGAGAGAGAGAGAGAGAGAGAGAGAGAGAGAAAGAGAGAAAGAGAGAAAGAGAAAGAGAGAGAGAGAGAGAGAGAGAGATAATCTTCTGACACAATAGACAATATGCCTTTGTTGTCGATCGTTGAGCTACAACAAACACACCCAACGTGAAAAGTGCAAGGCAAGAAAGACAGCAAGGAAGCAGCTCTCTGCTAGCGGCTCTTACCTTGATCACAGAGATCCCCGCTCCAGCCTTCTCTGCAGATACACTGAAAAGAGTTCACCAGATCGACGCAGGTGCCGCCGTTCAGGCAGGGGTTGCTGTGACAGTCGTTGATGTTCTCGTGGCAATGCATGCCGGTGTAACCCGGGTCGCAGATGCATCTTCCACCGCTGCAACGGCCTCGACCGCCGCACGGCGTGCTCTCACTGCCGCAGCCGAATTGCTCGTCCGTCACGCCGTACTCGGGGTTGTGTACGGCCGGTTCCGAGCAGTTCTTGCCTTGCCATTGCTCGGGACAGTGACAGTAGTAGTCGGTCTGCGTGTTGAAGCACGGCGCCGAGTTCCGGCACGGATTCGGGCTGCAATGGTCGCGGTCGATCTCACATTGGTAGCCGGTAAAGCCGACCGGACACACGCACTTGTACGAGTTCACCAGGTCCCGACACTCGCCTCCGTTCTGACACGGCTTGGACGCGCACTCGTTGATGTCGACGTCGCAGTTCTTGCCGGAGTAACCGGCGGTGCAGCTGCAGTGGTAATCGTTCACCAGGTCGATGCAGAGCGCGCCGTGCTGGCACTGGCCGATGCAATCGTCGATGTTCCTTGTACAATTCTTGCCGGTGAAGCCGCTTCGGCACCGGCAGCTGCAAACGCGTCGAGAGATCGTGAGATGCTTGTGATGGAATCACAACTGGCGGTAAAAAGGAATACCCGTGCGCGCGCTATTTCATACAAATATGTGTCGCATATGTATTCTGAGTATGTAAAAACGATGAAGATATTCGACGATTGTATTCGATCGTATCATTGGCCGACAGATGCAATTTATACGTTACAGAAGAGAAAAGAGGAGATTAATTTCGTAAATCGTGTTCCGAAGTAACCTGTTGTCACAATCTGTTCGAAATCGAAGAGGTACGAGCAAGTGTGACAAAGTGTTGGATGATACTAACCTGTAGTCGCCGGCCAAGTTGGAGCAAGTGAGCGAGTTCTTGCAAGGTGGGTCCTTGAGCGCGCACTCGTCCACGTCAAACTGGCAGAGCGTGCCTTGCCAGGATGACGGGCAGTTGCACACGAAGCTGTTCTTGCCGTCCACGCAAGTGCCATTGTTTTGACAGGGTTGCGAGGCGCACTCGTCGATGTCGGTCGCGCAGCTGGGCCCGGTGAAACCCGCAGCGCACACGCACTGCGCGTTCTCCCCGTGCTCGTGACAGGTCGCGCCGTTCAGGCAGGGATTGGTGGCGCACGGGTTGTCGATCTTCTCGCAGGTTGGCCCGGAGAAACCGTCCGGGCACGTGCACAGGTAGTGATCCGGCGCGGTGTTGAGGCACGTGCCACCGTTTTGGCAAGGCTCGTGGGTGCCGCAGTAGTTGAGGTCTTGGTCGCAGAGTATGCCGCCCCAGTTGGTGTCGCAGATGCACTGCCAGCTCGAGCCGTTGCAGTAGCCGTGCTTGCAACCTGGGTAAGGCGTGCACTGGTCGCACAGGTCGCCACGCCAGCCGTGCCGACACTTGCACTCGTAGCTGACCTCGCAGTAGCCGTGCACCGGATGGCAGCCCTTCTTGCAGACGGCTGGACACATTTTTAGGACATTCTCCGGTTATTTGCGGGTTGGATTCGTTCCATCATCCGTCTATCTCGACGCCGACGGTACACGCGGTCGCGTCGATACAAGCGCGAGACGAGCGGGGGGGGGGGGGGACATTTGAATGATGACGTGAACGGATTAGCCGTCCCTCTTATCCGTCTTCCGTGCGCAGCATGTGACACGTGTAATAGCCATTGAGCCGAGCAAGCGTAATTAGCGCGGAGATGTGCGGTAATGAACGAGACACACGACGCTGTACGCTGACGCTGCGAAGACGGCGAACGCGGAAGAAGACGCTGCTTTCGACAGATTCGGCTAGGAGATTGTCACACGACCGTCGGATCATCCCAAGGTGTGCGTAACGCCTTGCGGGAAAGAGCAACCGGACAGCGCAACAGGTGTAACAGGCCGCCTCTCCGTACAGATGGTTGGCTGACGAAATCGAATTTCGTGCGATCAAAGCACTTTGCCTTTGAGAGACGACGATGACGACGATGACGACGATAATGACGACGACGACGACGACGACGACGACGATGATGACGACTCGATTTCTCCCCCCTCTCCCTACGTCCACCCCCGTGGTGAGACGAAAAAAGACAAGACAGGAAGGGACGGGACAAACGTGACGGAGATCTCGCCGGGACCGGGCAACTCAATTAGCCGGTGGGACAGAAAGACAGATGAGAAGTGACAGAGAGAAGGATTATCTCCCCATGACCATGAAACGAAAACTCATGCCGCGCTCGCGACACGCGTGTTTGTACGTATCCTTTCGGGATTTCTGTCGGTCGTGCGCACCTTTACACCTTTACCGTTATATTCGCGTACACGTCGCCGTCGTGTGTACACGCAATTATTGTACATTTGCGCGTACACACACGTATATACGGTGCGTGCATGTACATATCGCCCGCGGCATCCTTAATGATTAATAACCCCGCTGCTCTCTCTCTCCCTCTCTCTCTCTCTCTCTCTCTCTCTCTCTCTCTCCCCCCCTTTTTCCATCTTTCTCCTGCGTTCTCGTACGTGCATGAACAAACGGACATTTACGGTGGATATTTATACGACCGCATCTCGCGCATGATACTTCGGGGGGACTCCTAAATGACGACGCATTCGCGACAGGCTTTTCTTGCCACGGCCACGGCGTCGCACGTTGTATGTATACTGCCCCCGTCGTCGTTATTGTCGTTTTCGTCGTCTTCCTCCGCCGTCATTCTCGCCGGACGATCGAGCCAATCAGCCGTTTGCCCGGTACTTTTACTACGATCCTGCGAGGAGAGATCCTCGCGCGTCGACTCGCTACGCGGGCTTTCGCACTTTAGAAACTATAAATCCGCCGAGCTCAAACGAACGCGCTTTGCTACTCATGCCTACGGGCCGCGGTTGATTAATACGCCGGCAGTAGGTAAATTAACTTGCGCAATTCGCGAAGCCTTCCCGAAGCCTCCTCTCTCTCTCTCTCCCTCTCTCTCTCTCTCTCTCTCACTCTCTCTCTCTCTCTCTCTCTCTCTCTCTCACTCTCTCTCTCGGCGACTCTTTCTCCCGCGATCCTTTTTGCGCGACGACAGGACGACGGGACAGCTGCGCGAAGAGGCGGATTGCGGGACGGCGGTTTCGCGATTTTTCGCGCAAAAAGACCTCTTCACTTTGTACATGCGTGCGTGCGTGCATATAAGTACGTATACGGCGATTACACGGCGGAGTTGCGTCATTCGACGCGGAAGCATTTTCCGGGAAAATTTACGCTCCGCGGTCGCGTCGGTCGCGCGAAAAAAATCCCGATTCGTCGGGATAACCCGCGCCACCTTCGTCGAGTCTTCGTGACGCGGCTCCCCTATATGAGAGTGTAATTATGGTTTCATTGCTCGCGCAAGATGCAAACTTATCCCGACGCGAAATAACATGGGTCGCTGCGTTATTAATTTTACGCGGGATTTTTCAAGGAGCGCGAAGGAGTCCTCTCACTTGAACTTGGTTGCTCGGGTTCGACTTCTCGTCGATGGAACTCGACCGATGGCTACCGCTCGTCACGAGTTGAAAGTCGAAAGTTTCGCAGGGCGTCGCGAGATATAAATTTTACAACTACTTCGCGAAGGAGCCAGTCGCTTTGAGCCGCGAACGCGAAACTCGATAATCTCTCATTTTCATTCGTCGTCGTATCAATTTGTCGAAATACACCACAGAGAGCTGCGCGCGCAAATTTCGCGCGCGCGACGAAACCCGTTCGTTGAACCCGCGGGCCGCGAGATCCTTTCGTGGTCGCCGGATGTTCATCGGAGTATCAGCGCGTGTGCATGTACGCGCGCGATTGTACGTGTGTGTATGTGTGCGCTCGAGCCCGCAGAGATTTTACCTTCTCGCGCTGCGCGACCAGGTTGGCGCATCGTGTGAAGAGGATGCACGAGTGAAATTCTCCTATTGACCTTTCACAAGCGCGACAAAAATGTCGGAGCCAGTTCTCTCCTTCTCGTATAAGCGAGCGCGACTCATCGAGCCTCACGAGCACGCGATCTCCGCCGATAGTCTCTCTAATTGGGGTTCGCGCATTTTTCCCCTCGTCTATATATATATATAAGTAGAACGTGCTCAAAACTCTCGATAACTCGATAACTTTCTGCATCGTCGAGCGAGAGGAAGAGAGAGAGAGACTTTCTTTCTTGCTCTTCTTGCTCTTTTCTCACGTTTCGCGCCCCGCGTATCAAGACGACCGCGTGCCTTGCGATGCGACGCGGGGCGCGCTGTCGGAATTTTCCTCACACGAGCAAAGCTGAGAGCGCAACGCGCTCGAATAAATCACGTGTCACGTGTGCATGATACGAATTGTCGGCGAATTGTCAATCCGTTTTTGAGACGATCGCGTCGATGCCTCCTGATGCTTATCAAATGGTAAAACCGTAAAGTTCACAGTGCCAAGGAAAACGAGCAGTCTCGTCGCGAAGAGCAGCCGTGTGTTATTTGAATTCCATTGGCATAATATCACAAGCGTGGCGGACTGTGAAACGCGAAATGTACCTTGTGCTGCAAGCGAGAGGTATTATTTCCGAGTGGCGTACACGCGACAGAGAGGACAGAGAGGCCAAGTTTTTTCCACCTCCCCCGATCGACTCATCATTATTTTGATATATACTGCATGTATGTTACAGAAGGTTTCGTCGCGATCAAAATGAGCGGTAATTAAAACGGCTCGTTGTTAAAACGAGTGCAACTTCTTGCATTTCCAGTGTGTCGCGTAAACGAAGAATTCGCGACACATTTCGCTTCGGTGAGGAGCTTTAGAACTTGAAGGGGGTCGTACGTATGGAGATCGAACAAGAAGACACCTATAAAGAGAGTACCACACAACGCGCGTACAGTGTTGTGCTCTTCGCGTCTCGAAACTTTTCACGCGGAAGCGTCAAGATCGCGAAATCGCAGCGGGAACGAGGGTTTCGTCGTCGAGGGTGGACGCGGAAAATGGAGCTTACGTGTCCAACTAACGGCTCGAATTGCTCCGCGCGCGTCCCGTCGGTCCGTTTGAGATCGATTATATATCTCTTATATGCGCGTTGTGCCCCGAGTGTCGCGATGGGGAAGGACGACAGTAACCACACGCGGGGTCACGGAGAGGCGGAAGTAACGATTAAGCAGCGAAGAAAGAGCTGTTATATTGGTCGGCGCAGCATTGTGCGACGGGACCTGGCGTGATGTGTCGCTACCTTTGTGCGATCGTACGACATGCGTCTAACGTCCGCCCATTGAGGCACGCTTCGAGATAATTCGCGTATTTTACGATCCGTACGGGACCGTACGGAGGGCGACGGAGGCGACGGAGAAGAGAGATGGTAGTGGAGGAGGAGGAGGAGGAGGAGGAGGAGGAGGAGGAGGAGGAGGCGGAGGCGGTGGGGCGGAGGCGGAGGCGGAGGCGGCGACGGCGACGGCGGCGGCGGCGGCAGCGGCAGCGCTCGATCATCTTTTGATCCGACGCGGCGTTCCTGCGCGTTAAATCGCGGACGTGACGGAATCGTTCGTCGCAGCGTGCCTGGGGGCACGAGAATCCGGAACGGTGAAAAGAGAGATGGAAATCGCGAACGTGGCCAGCGCTCCCGACCCTTCGACCTTCCGTTGTGTCGCTCGTCTCTCTCGAGACGCCGTCCGTTTCCGCCTTGGAAATCTATCTTTGTGTGTGTGTGTGTGTATGGAACGTCTATATGTTAGAGTCTATTTTATTTTCTAGAAAGAAAAACGGAAATGACACACGCTGCAATTAGTAACATTGCAAAATGCACATCGTCGACGATATCGCGTGGACGCATCGAAAGCAAGACGCAAGATAAACCTCTCGCTTTTCTTGTGCCGGTGCTCGACGCGAACCGGAATTTTTCGTTCCTCCCTTCGGAAATTATCGAGCGTCTCGCGGCGAACGACGGCGATTATTAATGGCCCGGTAATCGAATCGCAAGGCCTCGTTAGGCCCGAAGGTGCGTGCGTCCCGTGAGAAATAGAGTTAAACGACATACATGCGCGGCGGTACGTACGCTGACCCAGCCGTGAGATTTCACGCTCCAACGGCCGATCGGGTTCTGGTTGTTCCTCCGGCGCGGCGCAGCGCGGCGCGGCGCGGCGCGGCGGCAAGGTGGAAAAATGAGCGTGCGCGCGTCCTTCCGCGATCGATATCGATGCTTGCGCGCGTAACGAGATGATAACAATGACGAGAGGAAGGCAGTGCGAGCGGCTCGCGCTGCGATAAGCTTCGGGCTCATCTTTCGAACGAGTTTTCTTCCGGATCAGGAAATTCTATAGGCGAGTTCGTTAGCCGAGCGAATTCTCCTAATTAGACTTTGGGTCGCACGATCAACGAAAGAAACTTTGCTCTCTCTCTCTCTCTCTCTCTCTCTCTCTCTCTCTCGCTCTCTGTCTCACTTTGGTTTTATGTCGATGAACTTTGCGACGCGTCCGGTATCCAATAAGAGAATTTGATTTTTAGACATTTTCAGGGGAGATACATTTTTCTATCGGATACCGAACATGTTCGTCGAGGTAAAAAAATGTCGCGTAAAAGTTTCCTCCGCAGATTATATAAGTGGTTGGCTTTCATCATCAGAAGTAAAGGAAGAAGGAGCAGAGAGACGGGGTTGTCGCTCGCGCGTCATGTAATTAACGTACACGCACTGCTTTAAAAATCACGACACGATAATATGCAAAGGTAAGCGCGTGAGCGCGCGTGTGACGTAACGAAGGGCAATTTACTCGCGAGTAGCTCTTTCTGCGAGGAAGAACGAGGAGGAGAGGGAGAACGCGGATTTGCGCGGATTTCTTTTATACGCGCGCGCATGTTACATCGCGTCGGGTTATAAGTAATGGTGCTCGTGGTTACGCGCTGTGGTAGCGGTAACTAATCGGCGATAATTCATTCTAAGTCGATGCGCACCTGGAGCCTTTAATATTGAAATACGTTGAGGGTTTCTCACGACGGTGCTTCGACTCCTCGAGTTCCCGCGTCGTCGAAAAATTATCCGCGACGATCAGGAGAGAGGATTGGAGAATGTCGCGAAGCAAAAACTCTGCCGAGTCTTTTTTTTCTTTTTTTAACACGGCGACGGATACGATGGTATTGGTAGTGGAATGGTGGAAGGACTTTCTGACTCACCCGTGTTACACTCGTTGCCCGTCCATCCGTCATTGCACACTTTGTCGCCGTCTTCGCTGCAGTTGTAATGACCGAAAACGTCGTCTCTACTCCGGCAGAACTTGGTGCAGGTAGCGTTGTAGTAATGCTCGTCGCACTGGACACGTATCCGGTACGCTAAGTGAGCGTTTTTACCTTGATGATTGAGGGTGTGCCACGTGGACTCGGGCAAAACGATGCCGCTGTAACTCGTTTCCTCGATCACGCCGGCACTCGGCACATCCCTCGCTTGCAGGATCAACGTGAATTGCCTCTGCAACGAAAAATATTCCCAGAATGATCTCTCAAGGCGCGTCGTAACAGAGACGATCTGCTAATAGATAATAATAGATTCATGTAACGAATACATTTCAAACCGGATGACCGGTTGTAAGAAAAACAAATTACACGCTGCACGTGTGAGATCAGTTTGAATTTCATTTTGCCGCTTCAAAGCTGTATTCCCTTAAATCATCATCTCATTTTTAGCCATTTGAATAATTGGTCGAATAAATGTTTGCATCGATGAGATACACGTATCGCGCAAAGAATCACGGCCGGAATAAAATTATCGCCACCACGACGGAACTGCCCGGACTGATCGTCGTGACGCAACCGAATCGGATTAAATACAGAATGGTGATGTCACGGACGACAAGGGCTCGTTCGAAAGAGGAAGGGAGGTGGTTTGATGAAGGCGGCAATTAACCCTTGCCCAGCTTGAATAATTCCTCGCCAGACACGGCCCTAAGTGGGACCCTCGGAGCTGGTGCTTTTGCAAATTTATACAGCGTCTGCTGACCTTTCGGGGCGGTTTAAATTATACGATAGTGTAGGGTTACCAATTTCCGACGCTTATGTAACCGGGAGAGTTACACGAAAGCGCATCCGTCGTACAGAACTGCGCGCGAGTGGAGAACAACTTCCGTTGTAAACGGCATGGTAAACACCTGCGTCGATTCTGATGCGATAAATTCGATAATGGGAAATAAGACGAAGGTACAATGTCGCAACTTGTCGCGTCGCCCTCACTCTCTCTCTCTCTCTCTCTCTCTCTCTCTCTTGCTTTCTTCGTTTACCGGTACGTGTCACGTAAATTATCTCGTTATCATTTTCACAAATTACGGCGTAATTCATACACGCGCGCAATCTCGCGCGGCTAAGCTCGACGAGAGAGAGAGAGAGAGAGAGAGAGAGAGAGAGAGAGAGTCGCAACATCCTCGTGAGTAGGACTCGAATATTATCGTGAGCTACATCGAGACGATCGCCGAGTCGCATTGAAATACACTCGTAATGCTCGCGGTGACAATGTACGCGCGAGAGCGGCTCACTATTGATCGGGATAATTACGACGATTTGCACGAGGACCGGTGCAGTCTCGTCCTTCACACGGCCGATGTATCTCCGCCATTCTCGTGTTGCGTCCCAGTTGTTCGCGAGGCAGGGGAGTCCGATCGGTACCACCAATCAAGAGCCGTGAGAGTGACGGCAGGCTAATGCAATAAATAAATTCGAATCGCGCGCACCGGCCGCGCGGAAGACGCGGCTGTCCGCTTCGTGTAGCCGCGCGCGTTGCCACTCGACGGGGTTACAACACGGGAGTCGGACCGGCGATGGTAGAAAGCTGGAAGTGTTCCTGACGGAACCGGTCCCGCGAGAAAAAGACCAGGCAGCAGCGCGCGCATTGGCGTCTCGCGTGCGCTCGCGCTTGCGCTCGCGCTCGTGCTCGCGCTAGGTATAACGAACTTGACGATCCTCGGAATTAGATAGACAATGAGCACGAATGCAAAATCCGCGAGGGAGTCTCGGCTTCGGCACTCGGCGGCGCACGCGTAATCTCTCTTTCTCTCTCTCTCTCTCTCTCTCTCTCTCGTTCTCGTCTATTTAATTAAAAGCGGAAAAAAGCGTTTATCTGTGATGACTAGAAGACCTGTGTCGAAATTGCAAGAACGTCGCGTGTTTTTTTCCCATCTCATTACGACAAGAGCGATATACCACGATGATGCAGTCTTCGCAGCACAAAGAACATGTTGTGGTCAATCCGCGACGAGTCAGACGTCTCGCGCTAAACGTAAAGTCAGCTCTGCTCGCCGGCAGTACCTAGAGCAGATGAGCACTAATTGGTGTTAATTGGTGGCTCGCCCGAGGGCCGGCTTTCCCACGCCCGCGACTTTCGTGCTCGCTTTTTTATATTTTATATATATATATATATGTGTGTGTGTGTGTGTGTGTATGTGTGTATGTATGTATGTATACGTATATATATGTAAATCTTACATGTATATTCTAATGCGACTGACCGGCCGCGTCGCGCTCGTTTCCCCGTGAAAAGAACGTTCTTTGTGCTTCACGTCGTGACACTTCCTTTGTCGCGCCGTTCTATTCCTCCGCGACGAGTTTGTTGATAATTGAGACGTAAATGGTTTAAGGTTAAGGTCGAAGGAAGTGACCAATATCGCGTTAGATCTTTCGATCCTCTGCTGCTCGATAGATGCATCAAGTCGGTCGCGGCAACTCTACATGCTCATAAAACGTCGTGTCGTCGTGTCTCGTCGCGTTTGATTGAAGTTATACGACACATCGGAACTTACGATGTTACAGTGACGTGGAAATAGTCTGTACGTAAAAGTGTGATTCTCTTTAAAAATAGTATTGAATCAATTCAGAGTATTAAATTAATTCAGAAATATTTTCCCACAGAATTCACGTGTCACTCGTTGGTATAAATATTTTTATCTGAAAAATGTTCTTCAACCTTCTTCATATCAATACTTGTCGGTGGGAAAAGACTCTCGAACCAATTTAATGTACGCCTCACGCGAAAATGACCTTTGGTGAAATCTTGAAAGAGCTCCGGGCTCCGCACCTCAAGTGCGGTCTGCCACTTTTCACTTTTCGGATTGCACAGCGAGCGAGAGCTCTAAATGTCCACTGTTACCGCGAGAATTATTACCGCGTCCCGCAGTCCCGGAACAAAGAAACGAACGTGCGTAGTGCGCGCCGAAGAAGAGCCGAGAAGCAACGCCGAAGGCGGCGCAATCGTGGATCTAGGAATTCGCGTGGGTGTTTCGCTACTCAGCTCGCAGCTTTAGAGCCACGCGGCCTCGCGTAGACCTGACGAATTTCCCCTTTCACCGTTAAATACTGCGGGGAAATTGGAAGCCAAGTAGACTTCTTCTCGAGAAACAGCTCGTCTCGTCTCGTCCTGGCCGCGACGATTCGAATCGAGCGATGAATGGAAAGCGGTGGATGAAGGCGGTGAACGACCGAGTCTCTATCTAAAATATCGACGAGCAAGATAAGAGATGGAGAGGAGAGATTGAGGCCGTCTCACAAGTACGAACAGTACGATATGACGGTGTTATAATGACGAAATTAATAACGACCATACTTGACAAAGGCAAATCGGGAAATCGTGGTGAAATGACAGATATCAATTTCGTCTCATCATTGATAAATTACATCGCGTTGTTTTCCGCTTATCCGAGAGCCTCGTCGATCGACCCATTCCGTTCTGTTGACCCTTTAAGGAAATATAATAAGTATAACGCGGAAGAGAGACACGAGCGTGGGATGCGCATACGTGTGTTGCTTCGCGGTCGAATGCGTCATCTCGTATTCCACGGTCGTGCAGCAGTACGTAGCATGAATTATCCTGCTCCTCAAATCGTACAACGCCGCGTACATACGCGTAAACCATTATTCGCGAATGCGCGTATGAATGCGCCGAAACGCAGCGAGAATCGTGGAGCAGGATCGTCGCTCGGTCGCGTTTCGCGACGGAACCATCATCTCCCTCTTTCCGCCGTTAAGGACGAATGCGGAAAAATCGTAAAACCAACCGCGGTTGGTCGAAGCGTTGGCCGCCGACGATCGCGCGTGCGAACCGAACGCGCGATGCCGATAGAATAGCCGATACTGCCGCGCCGACCAAGTCACGTAGGCGTAGGAAATCAATTAAGCCGAGCGGTACTCTCGGATAAGTCGATGCACGTCTATTTCCCCGCAATGGTCAATTAATTAATTTTCTGCGCGAGCAAAGTCGGCTCCGAGCCGGCCGCGGCGATCGTCGCGAGGTTCCAAGTCTCTACATACTTTGTGGATGGACAATTTCTCCGACTATTAAATATCCGATGAATATACATGTAAAATCTAGCGTAAAACCAAAGATAAAAGAGGCCGTCGAGTTTGTGTCATCAACGAACGATTTCGTCGTTTCAGTTCAAACTGTAAAATGCAACGGGCATGAATCGGCTGGTTTTCACGCTTTTCTATCGTTCGATTGTTTAGAGACATTTTGCACAGAGAGAAATCTCCCTTTCTCTCTCCGACTTCCGTCGTCGGCGAATATTTTTCGCATTCACCAGTCACAAACTCTACTCGTCCGAGCGTCGTCGGCTGATCCGTCGGGAATCTGTACAATCCGGGCATATCCGGCGTAATAGAGCATCGCTGCGAGGCCGATTCGAAGCGAGTCCAAAGGGATCAACGGAAGCGAGCGGACACGTGAAGCACGTAGAATCCCGCTGCGAGGCTATCTGGCTAGCTGCCTGCCTGCCTGCCTGCCTGCCTGCTTGCCTGCTTGCCTACCTGCCTACCTGCCTGCCTGCTTGCTCGCCTGCCTGCCTGCCTGCTTGCCTCGTCGTCCGTCACTCTATCGAGACTATGACTTACGTACGTGCGCGGTACGTATGCGTGTGTGCACGCTGGTAAGCGCGCGCGGAGGCAGGTAGATAGGTACTTACGTACGCCGAATAGAGCGCGGCGAGTCTCTCTTTCTCTCTCTTTTCTACGTCAGATACGACGCGTCTTAGGTCTTCGCGGAAAAGATCGAACGAGTCGTACGTGAGGACGCGTACAAAAGCGAGGACCGACGATCGTCCGTCGACGTACCTTCGAACGAGGGTCGCGTATCGAGGCTTCCCGCGCTTCGATTCCTCGCGCCGCGATCCGCCGCTCGCGCGCTACCGCCGCAATTCCCTTTAATTTCCGACGCAGGATTTATAGCCGGTCGCGGTAACGCGATGGTGCCAGAGTGTCCGCGGGTCGTGTCGAAAGTATCGGTTAATACAATTTGATGGCTACGTCGAAGACGGTGAAATCTCTGAAAGGCGCAGCATAGTCGACGCAGAGAATTAAACTCGGCATCTTGACGAGATGACGAATGCGCGGGTGGACGAAAACAAAATCGTCCGTCGCTCTCTGAAATCTCTACTTTTCGGCTGGATCTTTCTTCGCGCGCGCGCGCGCGCGGATATCGATCGGTCGGACACG